AAGCCTAATAAATTGCACGGATTCCTTGCACCGGGTCTCTTTTGTTCCAGAGCTCATGAATGTGTAGTTTGTAGTCGTGTAGTTAATTTGTCTGCATTCCCCCATGGGGTCTTTAAAATGCGGCTGTAAAAGCTTTTTAGCGAGCGCATTACTTTACATTTTATTCCCTATTTTTTTTTTGGGGGGGGGAGGTGGGGTTTGGAAATTTATAGCGGCTGCTTCGAGCACTTAGTGGATTCTGATATTAATTCGATACCACTCCCGAGTAGTGGTGGTACAAAAGAGAAAAGCAAATTGGCGTTCGATGTCATTTACCAAACATTCATAAACGTGATTACAATTGAGATTTATATCGCGTCTTCATACTGGGAGCATTACTAGATGCTGTACGGGAACAACTGTTCACAAAGAGTAATTTGCCTCCTCGTCACTCATCTATCACTACTAACAAGGTTTACCATTCCCGTGAACTTTACTCATTGATCACTCCACCGATGTTGACGACTTTGCCTACCGGACTGTTTTGTCTCATCCACCACAGGGCGTTCCAGCAGAGCACTGCAGGTCTCAGCAATACACACTCACTCGTCTGCTCACTCGTCCGCTCACTCACCTACTCACAGACAAAGACAAAGCTCCCCCCTTGTAGCCTTAACAGACTATTGGGGCAAGTGCTGTTGACAAGCACCTATGAAGCCCGGAACGGCACACGAATGGGTGGCCAGCACCACGCCCGGCCGCCTTTGTCTTCCTTCTAGCCACTTCTGTTTCTGCTTCCCTCGCACAGCTCCACGCTGACCGAGCGCACTCACGGAATAGTAAAGCGCGGAGTTTAAAGCAGGGGTTAAACCTGGATGAAATGTGAAAATAATATGCTACAGCAGCGAGTGTGGCGGCACCGAATGGCAGTGGAAGGTTTCACAAAAGCCGGCAGAGCACGAATGCAAGCGCTACGGGCAGCTGCCGTAGTGCAATGGTTAGCACGTTTGACTTTCAGTTCGGAGGTGGCCGGTTCGTACGTACGTATGTATTAGGGCTGAACGATTAATCGATTTCAAATCGAAATCGCAATTTGAAACGATGCGATTAGCAAATCGCAAAGGCTGCGATTTGAAAAGTCCTATTACTTTATTATTGGAATTGTTTTCTTTTTTTATTATTATAACTTTATTTATTTAACTTAACAATTGTTCTATGTTTGATTGTTCTATTTCAATTAAAACGTTTCAATAAATACATGTGGGAAGCAATTTATATGTTTTAAATTCTCCTCCTTGCATTAGAATATATAGAGCAGTTCGTATTTTGATGGTATCACGTGGTAATGCTTCATCACATGTTTTAAATCTATTACGCAGTGAATATTGAACTGAAGCTTGACTTTAAAAATAATCGCAAATCAAATCGCAATCTCTGTCAGAAAAATCGCCATTAGATATTTCCCCCAAATGTATGTATGTGTATTCAAATTTGTTTGCACCGTACATAGCCGACCGTACTAATCGAAGGTGGCCGATTCGATTAAATCTCCTAGTGCGGTTGTTGAAACAATGAAGTAATATGTCTCCTTTACTTCCCCCCCCCCCCCTGCCCTTCCCCCCTCACGCCCCCACCGCCTCTGTCCACCCGGTGTTATAAATAAGTGCACCACAGGTCAGATAAGTCGATCAGGCAGATCGAGAAGTGGTGGGGTAAAGCGTGGGTACGCCCACCTCTTCCAACACGTCTGGCCTGTGTGGATGAGTAGGCCGAGATGCCCTCTTGAGCTCCCCTCTAGCGGAGGGCCCTTCTCTTCCAGCAGCAGTGGCGTGAAACCCAACAACTGCTGGGCTGCACCTTAATCTTGACGGTTTTTTTGTGTGTCCTTGCTGCTGGCTGGATTACATCGTCCCTCTCCACCGAACACCATTACGCTCGCATACATGGGACAGACGTTGCGCAATCAGTCCGTGCCATTTGCCTCCTCCTACTTTCTTGTGCTCTCTCTTTCTCTGTTGAATTTTTTTTTAATTCCCTCTTTTTTTTTTGGGGGGGGGGGGGTTCAGTAGCAGCTTTTGCATGCTGTCTGGACAACCACCCGACGCCGTGGTGAGAAAAAAAGAAACGAAAGCATTATTCGAATCTCCCCATCACACTTTCCTCCAAAGCTAACAAAAGTGCCATTGCCTAGCTCTCTAAACAGACTGTTAGGACTTGTGAGCTTTACAAGGCTTATTACGCTAAAAGGTACCGAGTGTGATGTGATCCACTCTGCATGCAAGGGACCATTGCAAAGGGTACTGCAAAGTTGACCCTGTCACCAGTATTTGCCCGATCTCACCAGATCTCAGAAGCCAAGCAGGGATTTTGGACGTCTGGATAGAAGTGTCTTGGATTGGTGGCCACTATGCAAGCCGGGTTGCCGTAGGCTGCTGCGGGCCTTGTGTTATGTGTTGATCAGCAGTGCAGCAAAATATAAAGTATCATACTTCACCATGCTGGTCAGTGCAGGTTTGTGCAGGGGGTCGAGGGTATGGCTAGTTCTGAAATTACTCACCGCTGATGTTAGCCGTGGCTGGGAATCGAACTCGTGTTTTGCTGGCTTCATAGTGCAGCATGCTAACCAATGCACCACCACCGTCCACTCCGCTGACCCTTTATTGTGCCTGAAAATGACCAGGAGATTTTACCGCTGCAGTCCACTGTCGGACATTAATTATAAAACCCGTAACAATTAACGATAGTGAAACGGAGTGTCTGGAGGCGAAGCCGCATGGGGTGCGGGAGGCAGTTAGGATGATGTGGACACCCTCAAACTGTAGGGGCCTTTGTTTATCTTCAAAGTCAGGGTTCCTCTACAGCTCATGAGCAAAGACAAGCGTAGTAAGCGGTGGGAGTCCCATTGACACATTGTGGGGGAAAAGGTCAAACAATGACCTGAGCACCCAACAACCCCCCCCCCAACTCTTCCCTCACCACCACCCGCTTGCTTCACCATTAACCGACGGACGCTTTCGCAATAGTTCTACCGCGCGGGTCGTCGTGGTTGTGCTTGCTAACAGCACTTGCCCCGGCAGTCTGTTCAGGCTACATGGGAGATCTTTGTCTTTGCTGCTGCTGCTCAGCCGCCCGATGCGCCGCGACGTTCTACCGCGAAGTCTGACGTTTCGCTCCGCGTGCCGGGAGCGTTCTTCATCGCGAACTGAATTGAAAGACGAAATCGGGGCACGCGAAAAATGTATTCCCGGAAACAGTGTTCCGGACTGTTCCGGCTGACATTGAGCCAGTGGCCCCAACGTTTCACCGTATCCACCGGGAGCTATCTTAGAGGCGGCAAGTGAATTGAGAAGCAGCTCCCAACTTGCACATGGAGTGAAACGTTGGCAGAGTTAGGAACCGGGTTCTGGAAATTAATGATGGCGTTCCTCATTTTGTTCATCTCTGATGTACACTAATATATCATGGGGGAAAAAAAAGTTCTCTAAAGTGGTGTATTGTTATTATTTTCACTACGCAACTAACAATCACCAGGACTCTTCATGTTACGGAATACTTACAGAATGAGAATACTTATTTATACTGAAGGAATGCGATGAGCTATTAAGTGCTTTTTCAAAGATGTCCAGTTGGGCGGGTAAGAACGTTGCAACAACAACCACTACACAACACGTGATAGGAGTGCAAAGTACAAGAAAGGTAAACAAATCAGCCAAACACAAAACAAATACATCGCTAAACCATCCCCCCCCATCCTACCAGACAAAGCCCACTGAGGATTTAACTTATTGTTCAAAAGCGACCTGGCCACAAATGATAGCTCAACAAATTGGCCACAAATGATGTCGCAGTGCAGCCACCTCAACAAGAGGACAATCCTGGAAAATAACCATGACAGGTGGCAGTCCTAGCTCATGCTCCACATGGCTTTGACAAGGTCTGCCTGCTTTTTTGACGACACTTGGGAAGTGAATTACGTCTCAGTCTGCCGTTGATGTCCAGCGAGCGGCTGGATTTTGTTGTTGTTGTTGTTGCCACGGCCTCCAAAAACGCTTGCTCTAATTACAGCTCGTTAGCCCCGTGCCCACCGATGGGATGTGTGCAAAATGCTACGAAATAAAAAAAGATGCAGGCCTGCAATTAGGTGCTCGGTGCCACTCCCGGCGAAAGGGGCTCCAAAAGACGGGGCACTAAAGCGCCCGTCCAGAAGCTATTTTGGCCTTCAATTCCACGCTGGCCTTGGAATCAGCATAATCATTTATACTCAAGGAATCCGATGACCTATAAAGCTCTTTTCCACACATGTCCAGTAGTTTTCCCAGGAAGGGGTGGGAGCAGGGGCGGAGCCAGGGGGGGGGTGACAGGGGTGACATTCTGCGTGTAAGTGTACGACACTCGGTCTGGCGGACTCCGTGCAACTGCATTGTCAGAGTGTGTCGCCAACCGATGGCGTCTAGTTCAATAGCCTGACTCTCTAATCATTCTTGAAATTAAAATTTGTTTAATGTCACCCCGGCCTGAAATCCTGGCTCTGCCCCTGGGTGGGATTACCCACACTTTGCCCCAACCCGCTCGCGACCTGCCGATCGGCTAACCATGGTTGCAACCATTCATACTGCCGTGAAATATTCGAGAATGAATGGTTAAAAGTACGGCTTTTGGAGAGTTTCGGTTGTTCACCCCTTACTCCGTATCGCAATAGTTTTAAGGAGCAGGGCTAGAATTTATATCTTCGCTGCTCCTCAACATAAAACATTCGTTGGCTACGCAACCCTCCCCTCCGTGCAGCACTCACTATCTCTCCCGTCCGGCACTGTTTACGCGTGAAACGTTCAGATAAAAGATTGCAATTTGTTTTTTTAAAACCCGAGGCACTGCCTAAACTTAACAGACGCAGAAGCTTCTTCGCGTGAAAGAACGGCCTGCGAGCTCCGAGTTATGCACCAATGGAATTCATGTCCTGATTTTTTTTGTTATTGCTATCTCCTCCCCCCCCCCCCCCACCTCCTTTTTCTGCTCAAAAGAATCGGAAAACAACTTCATTTTCAGCTGCGGGGTGTCTCCTCCACCCGTCAAGGGCAGGGGAACGCAGGACACTGCTGCCCTCTCTGTCTGCTCAGGTGGGATGACCTTCGACGCTAATCGTTTGTTGTTGTTGTGTGCGTGCGTGCATGCGTGTGCAGGTTTCCTGTTGTTGTTTATCAGCGATTGAATGCGTGCACAACTGAGCCACTCACACACAAGACAAACATCCCCCAAGTAGAGCCTTAACAGACGTTTGGGGCAAGTGCTGTTAGCGGGTGCCTATGAAGGCCAGCATGGTACACGAGGGGGTGGGTGGCCAGCACCACGCCGGACCACCTTCGTCTCTCCAGTGGTGATGTTTACACACTGCGCTAAGTACTAATTTTAGGCTGAGTCTACCTAGGAGAGGCCCAGGACCGGTTCAAATAATCGTCACTGGCGTTGGCCATGTGTGGGAATGGGATTCGGGTCACCAGGTGACGCAGCGAGCCAACCGCAATGCGTCCACTGCCCACGTACACAACATGCACGCACTTATGCTCGCACAGTGCAGAGACTGCTTTGAGTCATACGCTTCAAACAGTAAACAGAAGATATATTTAATTTTTATTTGCAGAATTGAAATACATTGAGGGGTTTTTTTTTACATTATTTGTTTTTCGATATTTTATTCCAATTTGGCCATTGGCATCATGTCACGAGGCGAGGTGTCCATTAAGGACTTACCAGTCGAATAAATAGTAATTGAACTGCTAGTGTCCTACGAGTGACCTTTTAGCCACAGCCGGGGTGGCAGCATTTTCCACCCACTCTGCTACTGAGCAGTATTAATTTCACCGCAGTAAAAACCATTCGTGAATATTTTCAAGGCTGCAGCTTAGCCAAAATAAGTGAAATCCACATGTAATATGATGGATATGTGTGTGCATTCACTTGGCAGCCATGCTTGTGCTATGAAGAAGGCCCATTGTCTAAAACGTCCACCGATTTTATATTCATAGTTTTTTTTATTTTTAAGGTCGAGTCTGTTTGAGTCTAATTGTTTTTATTAATATTTGTTAACTGTTCACCACTGCCAACGCAGCATCACTAAACAAAGTGGTTTCATCGCAGGTGGCTGCCCCAGACTTGAACCCAGGGTCTCAGCAGTGCCGGTTCAGTGCTGTGTTTCGTGGGCCAATCGAGCCCCGCCTGTACGCTACATTGTGACACAGCAATGGGCATAGGTCCTACGGCTGGATGCTGTGAAAGGATTGGAGGTCCTGCATGACTTGGTATAACGAATGGCAAATGAGTCTCACCTGGGAAGTCTCTCAACGGCATGGGGTAGATGTCAGCACAGATAGAACGCCATTCTCTTTGGGAGCGTTTCATTTTATGCGGAGGTGATGCAAGAATTTCGTAAATGCCCCTAAGATGCTTAATCTGGAGATTATTTTATTTGCCGATAAAAATGTAAGTATATGCAGTTACCTTCTCCGTAGGATGTTGGCTCTATTTTCCAAATGTCATGGTTCAAAATGAAATTTTTTTTTTATATATATACTGTAAATATCGTTTGACAAAGGTTGAATGAAGAAAGAAATTTGAAAAACGATACACTCCAAAAAATTATCACCAACATCTTTTTGCGTTTTGAATTTTATCTACACAACATTGAGTTGTTGTAGATGAACGACTCACAAGTGTTCATTCGGAAAGCAAACTGTCGGGACCTACGCTCATATGCAAGACATATTATCGACCGAAACCTTTATTTAAATCAGGTGAGAGCCCGGTTAAACTAAAGAGCAACTTTTATTTATCTAGTTCTGGGTCACGACAACATATCGCAAAAACAACGCGATAAGACAACGAGCTAGAGCCGGGGGGAGCGTTAAAAAATAAAATTCCCCGGGTCCCTCTCGCACTCCGAACACGAGGGCAGCGTCGCCAGACGATCCGGAGGTGCGCAATCGCACGAAGACAGCTCTAGCTGACGTCACAATCAGAATTTGTATCCATACTGGAGGAATCCGATGAGTCATGAAGCTCTTTTTCACAGAACGTGACGAAAAAACAATTTAAAAAAAACAATAGGAGTACAAAGTATAGGAAAGGTAAAAAAAAATACTTTAAAATGTACAAATAAAACTCAACTATTTCTATCTTACCAGGTAAGGCCCACTGAGCTATGTAGCTCTTTTTCAGAAGCGACCTGGCCGCAAATGAAAGCTCAATGAAGTGGCTTATCACGTGGAAATTTAAAGCAGCCAAATTGATCTAAATGATCTAGACAGATGTTTCTAAATGTGGAGGGACAAACCGGAGGATCCGGAGAAGAAAATGCACGCTAGCGTGAGGAGAGAGACATGTAAACTCCAAATATGCATCAGGCTCGGAATCGAACCCCCGACCTCCTGCATACCATGCGATGAAGACAACATCTCACCACCGTGCTGCCCCTCAAATAAAACAAATAACTAAGTTCAAATTGCTTCAGTACATCAATTCCCAAGCTTGGAGGTGCGCGATGCCACGCCGTTGTCTGTGGCTGACGCCGTTGTCTGTGGCCGACGCCGTTGTCTGTGGCCGACGCCGTTGTCTGTGCGTGGCGGTGCTCAGACTCGGGAGACCGCGCCACGGTGAAGAGGAAAGCTCGCTTCGAGTTCCCCGCAGCGAAATGCCGGCTGAGGCGTCGCAACCCGGGGAAGGTCATGGACGGCTCCCTGAGACAGCCCGCCATAGGTGAGTTAACACTTTCACCGCAAGCAAGGTACATGCACGCATGAACGTTGAACTCCCTTCGCACCGTACGTAGCCGGCCGTGCTAATCGGAGGCGCGGGGGAAGGACAACAAACTTAGCGCAAAAAGTACGCGTGCATCCCTGTGTGGTGTGTGTGTGAGGGAGAGGCGTCACGCTGGTATGAAGTTAATTCGTCGTTTTTATCTTCGACGTTCCGTGTCTGGAGCGTGACCCCCGCACTCCCCTGCTGCCGGGTTTCGCGGTTGCGCCGCACGGCTCTATCCGACGCGTGTCCGGGGGTTGTACCCGCCGCCCGCTGTACGGTGCGACGTCCGACGTTTCGCTCCACGTGCTGCTGGGGAGCTTCGTGAAATGGACGAGTTCGGGAATTGGAATGAGTTCTCGCTGGGAAGAGACGTCGGGCGCCAATCAGAATTGCGAGCGGTACAACGTGCGAGCGTGTTTCTCTCTTTCATGAATTTAAAACCGTTTCCTTAACTGCCCGTGCATTTCATGCGCTCGATCTGTAAAAAATCACCGTCTGTTCACCCATCCCTTCAGCTGTCCTACGTCTGTGTTAACCGCATCAGCACGTATGTGCTTACTAGGGGGTGCGTTTACGATTGCTGGATTAACCTGAAAAGTCCGAAAAACTGAGAGCAAAATAAAGATTACACCAATATTTAATTAGGTAATATTGTAGAATTTAGTTAAACTACTTAATATGTTGCCACATGAAAAATAAAGTAATATTGGTATACGATTTGTAAACTGAATAATATACAAAAATAATCCACCTATTCACACGTAGTGGGTCAACACCTTTTATCTGTTCTTCATTCGAGTTTATTTGTCTAACGAGGTGAGAACTCGAGAGGCGGCTCCGACCAGGAATTGCCTCATTTAAGGAGTGACCCTGGGTCAGCATAATGACAAAAGCAATAACATAAAGTGCAGCAAGTGAAGCAAAGAGAAATGAGTGGGGGTGGTGGTGGTGGTGGTGGGGGGGGGAACACAACCACACGCTGTAAACTTGCTACTGAATAGAAGAGCGATATCAATCAAGAGGATTTTTTTTACAGGTTTCGTTCCGCTGTTGATGTTCGATATTTCAAAGACGCTCAACACATGAGTGGCGGAACCTTCGCTTCCCGTGCCCGAGTACACAATTTCTGCGTTGCGTGTCGGCGGGCTGCGGATTTTTCCGCGCTTTTCTCTCGTGAGATGAACGCGTCAAACAGCAAACACCGCCTCTGGACGCAAACAAAAAGAAACGGCAGCGCGTTTTTTTCTTCCCCTCTGCTTTATCGCCTTCCTCCACATCTCCCTTGCTCCTAAGGAACATGAAAGAACTTCAGCGTGCACGCGTGTGTGTGTGTGTAAGAGGGGAGAGGCGTCACGCTGCTATGAAATGCATTCGTCGTTTTTATTTTCACCGTTCCGTCTGTGGAGCGTGACTCCTTCAGCCGCCGTTGTGCGTGTTCGCACCGCAGCGAGGAACTTGTCGCTTATTCTCAGCCCACACTCTGCTGACTGACGGTCGTGCTCGCTCACGAGCCAGCCAGCCAGCTAGTCAGCCAGCTAGTCAGCCAGCCAGCCAGGCAGTCACCCAGCCAGTCAGTTATCCAGCCAGTCAGTCGTCCATTCAGTCAGCCAGCCAAGCCAGCTAGTCAGCCAGTCAAAAAGCCAGCCAGTCACTTAGCCAGTCAATCAGTCAGCTTCTCAGTCATTTAGCCAGCCATCCAGTCAACCAGCCATCCAGTCAACCAGTCAGTCATTCAACCAGCCAGCCAGACATTTTTTCGAATACCGAGCGGTGAAAATCAAAGGCGGGAGCGAGGCGGCTGTGTTTGCTCGGCCGACGACACACGACCTCGCCCGGTGCTCGGGGGAGCGGCTATTGGCACCTCCGCCCCGGGTCCCTCCCGATAAGCGGGCGCTCACGCTCCGGTGCTCGTTAAAGAGGCCGCGATGGGAGGAGAGATAAACCGCGGACGATCGAGAGGCCGCGGAGCGCGGGAGAGGAAGCTGATCAGCGGCGTTCAGCTCTGTTGATGGTGGTGCCGCCTTGTGTCCAAAGGAAAAGCAAAGTGAACATTACTTAACGCCGGTGCCTTCGTGCGTTCGTGCGTGCGTGGACACGAACTTGCCCCGCGCTTGCACGAGAATTTAAACGGGAACGGACCTCGCGTTAGGACGCGAAAAAGCCACCGCGAAATGAGTCGATCCCCAGCGAACGTGGACGCTTGGGCCAACGTCGGGCCAACGTTGGTTCAACCGCTCCCACCACATGCCAACGTTTGCCCAACGTTGCCCGTCTACTTTGGCCGCCGCTCGCTCGTCAGGCAGGACGGTCCTCTTGGACGCGTTGGTTGATTTGCCCAACGCGGCTCCGAAGTGCTCGTGTTGCTGAGATCTGCATTCGTAGGACCTTCTATCAGTCTAGCCAAAGGGTACCCCCCCCCCCCCCCCTCAATGGCAAATCTCCCTTTGCAGGATGGTCATTGGTGACGGAGGCTTGGGGAGGCCTCAAATACATCAGTGGATTGACCGTAGCTAACGATGCTGGTTATGGGTGGTGGTGGTGGCGGTGGTGGGGATTAATCAGAGCGGCAACTGGACTCGAACCAGGAACCTTGAGCTGCGTGCCGCCGTCACCACCCGGGACCGATTGTTTACGTGTTTTGTTTACTCCCTGGCGAGTTGCTCAATGCCGTGTTTAGGCTTTCTTTGGGCACGACATCCGGAGGGTTGACGGCGGGCGTTCTCAGTTTTCGCTCAAAAATCAAACAAACCCCAAAATCCCCTCCCATATTTGCCAATTGCGCTGATTCAGAGGCTGGAGTTGCTCCACAGCCCCCCAGCTGATGAGACTGACGAGTGGGCGTGTAACGCGCAGTCCGGCGGGTCACGAATGGCGATGGAGCGGTGGGCCCGAGTAGTCAAATGCGTCCGAGTTGCACGTCCGTCGGAAGTTAGACGGAGCGACGATATCGGATTTCGTCCGCAGGTGCTGGGTGGGTTGCTAATGTGGGGAGCGGTGGTGCAGCGGTGAGCGCTGCGCTGCACTATGAACTGGCTACCCAGGTTCGATTCCCGCTCACGGCCAACACCGGTGACGATTATGTGAACCGGTCCTGGGCCTCCCCTAGGTCGACTCAACCTCAAATGAGTATCTGGTGCGATGTGTAAACATCGCCACTGGGGAGACAAAGGCGTCCGGGCGTGGTGTTGGCAACCCACCCCCTCGTGTACCGTGCCGGCCTTCATAGGTGCTCGCTAACAGCACTTTCTCCAACAGTCTGTTAAGGCTATACAGGGGATATTTGTCTTTGTTAATGTCGCGGAACAATTGGCTACGACTTGGGGAAGCCTTCATAGAGAAAGTGGAGTGATCATAGATGATGATTAAGATGGTGATAAATTAAGGCAATTCATCAATTTCAATCGATTGTTTTTTTCCACTCATGATAAATGTACATGGGAATTAGTCACTTCATGCAAATCGAATGCCCCTTTAATGGTTATGCTCACAGTACGAACAAGATAAAATGCAAATGAGACGGATGATACAAATGTTGAACGGACAGAGACGGAACACGGGATGGGCCCTCCGAACCAGATTTGGCCATGCAAACTATGCGGACTGTCCAAGCAAGACAACACAAAACCAGACGGACTCTCAACATTGAACAATACACAGAAAATACAATAAAAAAAATATATCGATGGGTATCAAGGAACCTGAATTCGTGACGGTTGATTAAATCTCCTGGAGGAATTTGGTCCATGCCGACTCATCTAGGCCACACGCAAACATTCTAAACGTCCAGCGGAATTGGCCAAACATTGCAATTGAGGGTTCTCGCAAAAAAAAATCTAAACCTGTGGCCGTCACAAAAGGGTTCTCCTTGACTGCTCAGACGACTACGGACGCTTCTTTCGACATGCACGTGAGACGGCGCGCCACCTAGCGGGCTTGAGATGCAATTGAAAGGCACAGTCATCCGTCCTGAGCTTTTTTTCTTCTTCATATAAACTATAAAGCAACATTATTTGCGAGTTATTATCCAGCAGAAAAAAAAGTAAAAGTTGTTTCCTGCTCAAAAGACTACGAGGTCTTGGTCACCTCCTCTTCACAAGTCCTACGCCAGCGGTGTAAGTTCCAAATTTATCTGGAGGGGACGACAATGGCGGAGCCAGAATTTTCAGGTAGTGGGGGGGGCAACCCCTCCAGCAATGAAAAATGATAGAGTTGTTAGTAAGTAAGGAGTTGTTAGTAAGTAAGGAGTTGTTAGTAAGTAAGGAGTTAGTAATAAGTAAGGAGTTAGTAATAAGTAAGGAGTTGCTAGTAAGTAAGGAGTTGTTAGTAAGTAAGGAGTTGTTAGTAAGTAAGGAGTTGTTAGTAAGTAAGGAGTTGTTGGTAAGTAAGGAGTTGTTAGTAAGTAAGGAGTTGTTAGTAAGTAAGGAGTTGTTAGTGAGTAAGGAGTTGTTAGTAAGTAAGGAGTTGTTAGTAAGTAAGGAGTTGTTAGTAAGTGAGGAGTTGTTAGTAAGTGAGGAGTTGTTAGTAAGTAAGGAGTTGTTAGTAAGTAAGGAGTTGTTAGTAAGTAAGGAGTTGTTAGTGAGTAAGGAGTTGTTAGTGAGTAAGGAGTTGTTAGTGAGTGAGGAGTTGTTAGTAAGTGAGGAGTTGTTAGTAAGTAAGGAGTTGTTAGTAAGTAAGGAGTTGTTAGTAAGTAAGGAGTTGTTAGTGATAAGGAGTTGTTAGTAAGTAAGGAGTTGTTAGTAAATAAGGAGTTGTTAGTGAGTAAGGACTTGTAGTAAGTAAGGAGTTGTTAGTAAGTAAGGAGTTGTTAGTAAGTAAGGAGTTGTTAGTGAGTAAGGAGTTGTTAGTAAGCAAGGAGTTGTTAGTAAGTAAGGAGTTGTTAGTGAGTAAGGAGTTGTAAGTAATGAGTTGTTAGTAAGTAAGGAGTTGTTAGTAAGTAAGGAGTTGTTAGTGAGTAAGGAGTTGTTAGTGAGTAAGGAGTTGTTAGTGAGTAAGGAGTTGTTAGTAAGGAGTTGTTAGTAAGTAAGGAGTTGTTAGTAAGTAAGGAGTTGTTAGTAAGTAAGGAGTTGTTAGTAAGGAGTTGTTAGTAAGGAGTTGTTAGTAAGGAGTTGTTAGTAAGGAGTTGTTAGTAAGGAGTTGTTAGTAAGTAAGGAGTTGTTAGTGAGTAAGGAGTTGTTAGTAAGGAGTTGTTAGTAAGGAGTTGTTAGTGAGTAAGGAGTTGTTAGTAAGTAAGGAGTTGTTAGTAAGTAAGGAGTTGTTAGTAAGTAAGGAGTTGTTAGTAAGTAAGGAGTTGTTAGGGAGTAAGGAGTTGTTAGGGAGTAAGGAGTTGTTAGTGAGTAAGGAGTTGTTAGTAAGTAAGGACGTGTTAGTCAGTAAGGAGTTGTAAGTAAGGAGTTCTTAGTAAGTAAGGAGTTGTTAGTAAGGAGTTGTTAGTAAGTAAGGAGTTGTTAGTAAGTAAGGAGTTGTTAGTGAGTAAGGAGTTGTTAGTGAGTAAGGAGTTGTTAGTAAGTAAGGAGTTGTAAGTAAGGAGTTGTTAGTGAGTAAGGAGTTGTTAGTAAGTAAGGAGTTGTTAGTAAGTAAGGAGTTGTTAGTAAGTAAGGAGTTGTTAGTGAGTAAGGAGTTGTTAGTGAGTAAGGAGTTGTTAGTAAGTAAGGAGTTGTTAGTGAGTAAGGAGTTGTTAGTGAGTAAGGAGTTGTTAGTAAGTAAGGAGTTGTTAGTAAGTAAGGACTTGTCCCTTGCTTTTTATTCGAGGCGTGTGCGGCGATGGCGCAGCCACCGATCGAGGGTCGAATTCGAACCGCGTTGTGTGATTGGCATCGCGCTCGCCGAAGGTGTTGATGCCTTCAGGGAAGTCGTGTCCTGTATACGCAACTGGGTACAATTCTGAGTCACTTAGAACTGCCTTGCCGTTCCTTATTGCCAATTATGGAATCAGACTATTGTCCTATCATCTCGTAGAGTCCCTGGCACGTAATAATATGCTACACAGTGGCAGTGGGGGTCGCAAAATGCCGATGTATTACTCATAAACCCCAATGAATGATCCGATCGAAATTAGGGATTTCGATCGGATCATTGGGGGGGCACATGCCCCCCCCCCCCACTGGTTCCGCCAGTGGACGAGCCTCTCCGAAGAGCAAAAACATTCTCGACTTGCCACCACGGCAGCTTCCTCCGTGCTCTCCGGCCTGTGCACCGCTGCACTCATTGTATACAAAGACAAAGATCTCCCGTATAGCCTTAGCAGACTGTTGGGGCAAGTGCCGTTAGCGAGCACCTATCAAGGCAGGAACTGCACATGAGGGGGTGGGTGGCCAGCACCACGCCCGACTGCCTTTGTATCCCCAGTGACGATGTTTACACACCGCACCAGGTGCTCATTTGAGGCCGAGTAGACCTAGGGAAGGCCCAGGACCGGTTCAGATAATCGTCACCGGTGTTGGCCGTGAGCGGGAATCGAACCCTGGTCGCCAGGTTCATAGCGCAGCGCGCTAACCGCTACACTATCGCTCCCCACTACACTACCGCTCGTATACACACGTATAGACACACACACACACGTATAGACACACACACGTATACACACACGTATGCACACACACGTATACACACACGTATGTACACACAACAAGGGCGATGTTGCATCTCTCCCCACCTCCCCCCCCGTGACGCCGTGACAACCGCCGCCCTCCGTGTGCATTCCGCAGAGAACAGCCTCGTGAACTTCGTGAACCTCAAGTGCGACTCGACCAAGGGGAAGCCGAACCGCAAGGGGCGCAAGGCGCCCAACCTGGAGTCGAGGATCACGGCCGAGTTTGAGATCGAAGTGAGCGCAGAGGCGGCGACAGGTGAGGTCGCCCACCTGCGGACTCGTTGCTCCCTTCCACCCGCGACGGCTCGTCTCGACGGGGACCTTTTGTCGGCGGTATCAAAAGTGTCAAAATGTAAACATGTCTTTACCCCTTTCTGGCAGCAAAAAATACAAAACAGGAGGTGTTAAGATGCTCAAACACCAAATAGATACATTTTGCAAGGCGTCACGTCCACGTTAACCACACTTACTCGTGGCGAAACGTGTAAAAAAACATCATCTGATAATATACGCATTATTTGAACCTGATTTTCCAACACCAGAGACAACTTTCTTCATGGCCTTGCCTCACCACCGTCAGAGCAGAGAATGCCACAAGGCGAACAGTACAAAGACAATGCAAATATCAGCGCATTTATAGCTCGGGTCGAGCAGTTACATTATCTATGGGATCTTTTTTTACGAGCATCAAAAGTTTGAAGAAGCGAGAAGAGCTTTCGTCTCGTCAGCCCTGCCACCACCACCACCACGCTGCGCGTCACAACACGTCGCAGCTCTCCTCTGTCCGCCGCTGTCCCCGCACATTTTGAATGCCCTCACCATCGTCCCGTATTCTCTTTTCGTTACGACAAAAGTATTTTATTGACCAAACGATTTAGTTACACTAGAGAGCCCCCTCTAGAGAGAGCCCCCCCCCCCCACTCTATGGGGTATATTGCCCACAAATCTTGGAAGAGGTGGGAGCACCCACACTTTACCCGACCACCCGCAAACCTGCTGATGGACTAACTCTGCTGCATCCACTTATACTGCTGGCCGCGCCGAGGTGGGCGTAGGGGGGCGGGATGTAAGAAACGTCGCCAGTGTTTCGGCTTCCACGCTGGGTGATTGGGTGGGCAGCGGCGACCGCTGGATCGATCGCAAGCCCAGTGCACGAACTGTCCCGGCATCGCAGCGTCTCGGAGGAGCGCGTAGCTCGTCGTAGGAGGAACGACTGAATGGGTACGGGCTGACCGTCAGACTGTCCTGTGGCTAAGGCTGGTGCGTCAGTGCTCGGGAAGCGAAGTTTGGAACTCAGTGTCAATAAACAGCTTTTGTCGGCAAAACACTTATTCATTTATTTATTTTACCAAGGAATGGCGCTTAATTTGCTTCCTTTGAAATCACGTTTTTTTTTCCCCGTATCAAGACAGAAAACAGGACATTGGCATGAGGAACAGTTGTTGTTTCAATGCGGCATTTATTTTAGCAGGCAAGCAGTGCGTTCGGCGCGGCGCGGAATTACTGGTTTATTGCAAAAGTAAAAATAAACAAGGAAAAGGAGGCCTTCAAGTGTGCGACGGCTTCAAGAAACTTAGCGGGCTTAAATTATGACTTTTCAACTTGCAGCTGCATGGCTGCATGGAGCCCGTGCATTGGTTCAACTTAACACCGCGCAATGCAACGTCGCAAAATCGACCCTCACATATCCGCCCTAGCCAATTAACCGCCCACACCCAGTGCAGGATTTGCACGTGATGGCCTAGCTGTCAATGCCCGCATAGATGTTCACACATCTCAGAGCTTTCTTCAGAGAGTAAAGTACAGCGTTCGCAATCGCTCGTGCATTTTTCTTACGTCCACGGCACAGTGGAGCATTTATTTTTTTTGTCCAGTAACGTACGTGTACGCGACGGTACGATACAACCCGTCATCTTCTGCCGATCTTCGCACATTCGACATTTTCACACGTCCGCCGACGCCTCAGTCTGTCCCAGCGAGTCGGACATGCAACTCGCATAAATACTTCTCCAACAATCCGGGGTAGAATTGGACACGTCCTTTTGCGAGCACAATGCCCGTGCATTGTCTTACCCAAAAACCCTTTTTCCTAATTTTATGGTTTGGCAATCACTGCAGCACACGCACACACGCATATATATATACATGTGTGTAAAATAACGTTCTGTTAACATTGCTTTTTGCACGTTGAGACTCTACTGCTCGCAAGTCAAGCATTCACATTGGACCGGATTCACTTACAACAGCAACTAAAGTGCACCATGTGTCAAAATACAGCCACATTTGTTTGCACCTCCTCGTTAAAAATGCAGGTAAATTTAAAAAAACTGATTTTTAATTAATAACTAATATTAAAGAGGGCGAGAGTAAGGGGTCGCTCAACAGCAGCGTATGACGACGAAGGGTATATTCAATTCACAATTTTCTATTGGCTACATATATATGCACACGCGCTATATACACACCTGGTTCTATTTCTGTATATTTTCCTCGTGTTTTGTTTCTCTTGTGGGCTTGGACCTGGCGTGCCGAGGGGTGATCTTGTAACCAAACAGCGCCCCCCCCCCCCCTTAAAAACAAACACCACCCGGTTGCCCGCGCTCTCGCCGCCAAAATCGACGTCGCGGTATTCCACGTCTGCGGAGAATGCTGCGGCCGGCTCCACGCCGGTCGATGATGCCCAAGAGGCCCGAACCCCGCGCTCAAGGCTTCTCGCGGCGAGCCTCTATCCTTCTCTCGGGGCTCTGGTCTGGAACCGCCCCGCGCTTTCACGTGGGGATGGTCGCACAAAGGGTCCGAACCACGGGCGGATAAAGCCCTCCACGTCCTGCTGCGGTGGTCGATTGACAAAACAAGACTGTACGTAGTACGCGTGTGGGCCGTAGCGCAACACCGCGATCTTAAACGCAAAGGCATGGCCGTTGGGGGCAGGGAGGACGGGGACACTTAATTCGTACGCGACTCGCGTTTCCCTCCCCTCCCCCCCCACCCCTCCCGGCTCGCAGCCTCGTGCGACGTGCAGTGCGTCAAGAAGAAGACCGACAAGAAGCTGCGCAAGACCATCCGCGCCCTCAAGAAGTCCATCAACAAGGAGCAGTTCGTCGTGCGCTTCTCGGGCACCGACTACGAGGTGACGCGCAAGGCGCCCAAGAAGAGCGAGCGCCAGGGCCCCTGCAGCGCCGGCCAGGTGCCCACGGACGGCAAGTGCGGTGAGTGGCCCGCATGGACGCCGATGCCGCCGCCGCCGCTGCTGTCGTCAACCGCGTGGGACTCCAAAAATGCAGAGGCCCTCGCGGTGTCCTCGTGAGGTTACCGTGGGGCCTGGTGCTGCCCCCCCATCCCACCCCAACACCACCACCTCCCCCATTTTGTATGCCAGCGACCTACGCTCCAGTATAGTTGCGGGTTTAACGACACATTTTTATGCGATCTTACCGGTGGTGGCATCGTGACATTTCCACATGGAGGTGCTGAAAATATGGTGTTCTAATAAGAAAAACTTTGTCATGTTATTGGCCTTCCCGTGAAAGTGATATAACCGTTTTTCTACCAACGGTAGGCATTCATAAACAATGCGAAACAAAACAACAAAGCACTCACATGCTGTCCCCATGACCCTCCAGTCCACACGACACAACCCCTTGGACACTGCCAAAAGCCGTGAGCTGCCATATTTGCGCAGTGCAACCTCACGTTGCGACATCGTCATTACAACCACGGGCGTCTTTTTCACCACCCTGAATTGGGTCTCAAACGGCGTGGCTTACAATGCGAAGCGAATCGCAATGACTGAAGGAAAATCTCTCAATCGGTCACTTTCACAGCCGCCCCGAGACATCTCCGAGACTGTGGTGTTGCAGCGGTTTCTAACGCGAACAACTTAAAATGTTATCTTCATTCGGCAATTCACGTTGAAAGAATCATTATATATATTTTTTAAACACAACAAAACTATTTGTATGAAAGTATTTTTAGTAGAAAAATAATTTCTTATCTCCAGCTGTTTGGTGGGGCAGCGCCCCAACGCTCCTAATGGACGAACCGCGCCTGGATCTATCCGAAAAGAAAAAAAAAACCCATTGTTGTGGATAATTTTGGTCGCGAAAGGCCCACGCATGTTAAACTGCAGTTGCACTTCCTGCACACTCGATAGGTACGCGACCGACGTCGTAGGGCAGTGGTGGACAGCCTGCAAGCCACGGACCCCTCGCGGTGGCCTGCTCTAGGTGTGTGTCGGGTGATGCGTGGGGGTCGTGATTAGTGCACAAGCACAATGCCAATCAAGCCTGCGGCCCACAGAGGCGAAGGAGGTGCCGCTAGTGTGACCCACTGACCGGGTTGACCATCGCTGGTCTATGGCCCAGGAACGCCCGAGTCGTGCGATTTGAGGTCGAGTGGGCACCAACGTGAGGAAGGGCATTTGGATAAATGCCGTACAACTGCGTTGGCCAGTAGGGTTCCAGCGCTTCATAGGTTCAGCAATGAATAATTCTCGTGGACTTTGCTCCAACGACCAAGGTTTGTCGCTTCTTCTCTGCGCTTTAAGACCTACGATAGATTCTCCGTGCACCGCATGGGCTAACAATCGGGAACCAGTTCATGAATCGGGTAATGACCGAATCGTGACAACGCATTGATCCATTGAGGAGGTGGCGGATCATCACACATCTCGTTGCAGGGGCACAGGGTGTTTAATGCAACTTCTACCACCACCGTCATTTGCAAACGCTGTACTTGCAACTGAAAGACGATGCGTTCTCTTATTAAGATGGAAATTGCATTCAGGCCTCCAGTATTGGCACGGGGGCCACACATTCACATAAAGGTTTTTGTTCACCCACAAGAGCAACCCCAAAAGGGGCAACCAAGAAAACCCAAAATCATTGTGACGGTCGCATAAAAAAACCCCATCTCCTCCTTCAGGAGCCCAGTGAGATTGACGAATAGAGAACACATCCTCTAACAGTGCTGTTTGTGGTAGTGCGTGCTGCTCTGCCTGAACAGGGTAGCCAAAAAGTCAGGACACACAGGGTTATATTTATGTTAACAAATCACATTGGGTCATTTCATTTATTTTTAACAAATACTCAAACTGACTTCGATTACGATTAATGCATGCATGAATTCTCTTTTGAAATTAACTAATGACTTTTTTTTTAGATTACAGCTGCCCTCTTTAGTGTGCATGTACACTAATTGAACTTGTTCGTCTTTGGTCAATTTTCTTTAAATTTTTAAATGCAATCTGAAAAGGAAGAAGAACAAATTTATATTAATGATGATAGATAAAATATGAATTTTAAGGATAAAAAAAATGTTTTAATGCCAGTGTTATAATAAATTATATCAACCTCAGTGCCCTGATTTTTGGGCCACCCTGAATAGCTGCGCCACACTGCCACCTGCTGGTGCGATGCTGTATAAGGGTTGTGAGTTCATGAGTCTCAATGGGTCGCCTGCACTTTTGGCAGCCAGAGTAAAAAAAAAAGCCACTCATAGACAAACGATCGTGGCTGAACGACTGACGAACATTGGAATGATGCTCTAGGAGGACCAGAGAGTTGAAATTCGGCGCAAATAAAGTCGACTGCCATTGGGGAATCACAAATATCAGAGCATTGCCAAAAATTTGGAAACGCAATCGCACGCTCAAATAACTTTTCGCAAATGTGCAATTGGGTTTGATGATAATAATAAACTGTATTCTATCGCGCAATTCGCACAAGGCCTCGAAGCTCTCGCCCTGACAGCATCCCCTTAGGCTTTCACGCTGCGACTTCAACGCATTCGAGGGGCAAAGAGCGCGTTGGGACAGCGCTACGCCATCCGTGCACGGGCACAATCTCTCTCTCCCTCCTCAAGCTCGTTCCTTTCGTTTCGCCACGGCAGTGAGCTGCAGGCCCGGCACATTCTACAGCGGCGCGCAGGAGAAGTGCCTGTCATGCTCGCCGGGCACGTACCAGGACAAGGAGGGCCAGCTGGCGTGCGAGCCCTGCCCCGGCACCGACGTCAAGGGCCTACTGGGCGTGCTGGGCGCCCGCAACATCTCCGAGTGTGCGGGTAAGAGCGCCCGCTCCCCACCGCATCTCCGCCACGCGCATGCCGCCCCCCCCACCCCCACCTCGCTGTTCCCTCTCCCCCGTACGCGCATCGACGCGGGCAGCCCTGCAATCGCTCCCTCGCTCTTCCCGCTGCTGGCAGCAGGGGCGTCCACGAGAGGGAGCTCTCGCGCGCCCCGCCGGAGGGGAGCGGATGGTAGTGCGGTTGTTGGGGTTCGCGCACCGCTCGCTCGCGGCAGCCACCAGTGGAAGGCTCCACACAGAGGGGCTCTTTGTCCGTGTTTCTCCTTGCGCAGGGAAGTGTCCCCCGGGGCAGTTTTCAGCGGACGGGTTCCGCCCGTGCCAGCACTGCCCGCTGGGGACGTACCAACCCGAGGCGGGCCGCTCTTCCTGCTTCTTGTGCGGAGGGGGCCTCATGACCAAGTTTGAGGGCTCCACCGCCTTCCAGGACTGCGAGACCAGAGGTGGGGGGCGGGGGGGGGGGGTGGCGGGGGGTTGGGGGAGGGGGGTCGCCCAGGAGGGGATGCCGAGTTTGGGGCGGCTGCCAACGCAGACCGGTCCACCATCGAATTCTCGATTGGCGAAGGAAATGTTGTGGCCCCCTGCACTCGGAGGCGGCTTGACGTTCACCGCCACGTGAATGCCGTTAACCGTGCCTTTATTTGAGTCGTCGTTTATTTTGTTGGACAAAGGTGGGGGACTCGAGAGATGGGGCCTTGCCTCATGTGTAATAGTGACTCGGATTTGCAAGAATGACCTGGTATTGGTTAAATCGACGACAATCTGTGGAAGTTTTAATACACCCGGCTGTGTAACTTACTCTGTAGTTATCCAGCTTGAGGAGCTATACACCTCATAGCTCATCGGGTTCCTCCAGCTTCAGTCAAATGTCTGTGTCTAATTTTAGTCGAGTCTTAAGCCTGTGGAAATTAATTTCGTTTAATTTTAGTTAGTCTCGTCGACTAAAGCTGTCAAACATTTAGCTGCTCTTAATTAGTTATTCATTGTTGGTGCAAGGGGTGTGTAGTTCCTCCTCCCCCCGCCCCACCCAGAATATTATCCTTGTCAGCCAATAAATTTACTTTTCACATGATGCATGGTGGCCCAAAAGTCAGGACACGTAGGGTTCATCTTCTTTGGTTCTTTCGGTAAAGTCACGTAGAATGAGAATAACATAATAAATTGATAAAATAAAATAACACAATAATATTCTCACGACGTTTCGGCCACAACACAAGTGGCCTTCATCAGGTGAAGGGACGAGACTGTCTGGAGGACAGCGCTGGAGTGACTTTACCGAAAGAACCAAAGAAGATGAATCCTTGCAGTCACGAAAGCTTTAAATCGAAATACACGTAGGGTTATTTTGTTATTTTTTATATTTATTTTAAAAATTAAAATAGGGTTATTTTATTTGAACACATGTTAAAACTTACTTCCATTAACATGAATGCATGCATGAATACATTTTAGGACTTCAATTTTTTTAAAAGTTACAGGTGCAATCTATGAACATTCATCAATTGTTGCCTAAATTCATTCATTCAGGGTACTTGGTCGAGCTTTGTAAACAATCGATTTGATGTTACCCCACAAGAAGGAGAGAAATAGATATTAACGACGACAATAGACAAAATATTAACTTGACGAATAAAAAAACATTCTAATGCCCGTGCTTAAAATGAATGAGTAACCCTATGTGTCCTGACTTTTGCGCCACCCTGTATAAACATACAACCAATCACCATTGTTTAGCCTCATAACGTCGCTAAACAATCCCAGTCTCTGCCTCTTCATTCACAGAACTGGCTAACCCCGTCTCGCCTCAGCCGGCCATGCTGCGGTCCGTCGCGGGCAGCCCTTAGCCATCGTGACGCTCGACGGATTTCCGAGCACTCGCAGTCACCGTTGCCAAATACGCCCGCCGCCGATCCGTTAACAGAGCGAGCACGTGTGCCGTCGCCCCCACAGTGCACTGTTCGCCGGGACACTATTATGACAGCGGGACGCACCGCTGCGTGCGCTGCCCCATCGGGACCTACCAGCCCGAGTTCGGACAGAACTTCTGCGTGGGATGCCCCGGGAACACCACCACCGACTTCGACGGCTCCACCAACGTGACGCAGTGCAAAAGTGAGCACGGCCGCCTTCATTCTTCTCTGTGTATTTCCCGTGTCTTTCAATCTCGTATAGGGGCTGTGAAGAACTCGCCCTAGAGGAGGCCCTTCCACTGGGAGTTGGCACTGGACATCTGTGAAAAGGAGCTTTATAGATCATCGGATTCCTCCAGTATAAACAAATATTCAGATTCTGAAGCTCTTGCAGGGCTACACCTTAACCTTGGACGTCTTAACAAGATTATGTTACGTATTTATTCATCATTATCATCATCGTCAGCCATAATCGATCCACCGTTGGATGAAAACCTCCCCCAGTGTGTCACTGTCTGTGCGGTGCAGCAATCCACCTCGTGTCCATGCACAAGTTGAGTTCATGGCTCCCATCTCTTTGGTGGATGTCCTCTCAAACACATTCCTTGGCTGCCACTATTATAATGCAATAAACATGATACAACCATTAATTCTGTCAATGTGCAAACCCCCAGATGTCTTTTCTTTTTTTCCAGTGACACGCATTGCAAAAAGACCATCATTAAACTTTGGTTGACTTCACCGATTCCTATCATCAAGGAGTGGCCTTGCTGGACTTGCTGGCAATACACTCGAATAACGATGGAGTGACGATGCGCATTGCGATGTTTTGGCATGAGAATGAATCCCAACTCACCGCTGAAAGAGTGATAACAATCCATAGATTCACGAGTCAAAATATTATTCTCTCGCCTACTATACACGCGTAGACTTGTTGCGTGCATTAGGCTGTGTTAGGATGTGCGTACAATTCCACTGATTTTGGTGACAGAGCGTCGCAGGGTTCGCGCTCTGGCCTCACGGCAAGACGGGTTTGGGTTCGATTCCCGACTCGGGTGCCTCTTTTGTGTGAAGTTTGTGTGTTCTCCCCCTGTTCTCTGTGTGCTTCCTCCGGGATCTCTAGTTTTCTCCTATAGCTAAAAAAAAAATCATTCATTGTTAATTGGCTTTCAGCCAAAGCATCCCCCAGTACTGACAAGTTACCTGTGAATCACTGAATTGGGACTGCCCGTGGCAACCCATCGCCACGTGCTGTTAAAACTTGACAGGACCCTCCTGAATAAGAAAAAAATAATCGACGTGATTTTAAGTGTTTAACATTTTTACTGTAATTATTTTCAAATGTATATATATTAACTCGTCTTTTTAAAATTTGATATATTTACATTTCTTTTGGTGATACATTCAGAAACACTTAAGTCTGTGCGCTCCGGTTGACTCTGGGTGAAAAGTGGGATACGTATTTGCCCAATCCCTGGCCAGCTGACTCAACGGTCATAAATAAATAATTGCACGTTTTGAGACTCAGTGAGGCTTTTTTGGGTAAACAATCGTAGCAGTAGTAGTAGTATTAATAACAATAACGTGACGGATTGCACATGACCCTTGCAGCCACTGGAGCTGCTACACTCATCATCATTATCATCACGATCCATGGGCAGATAGCCCGTTGGTGTCCACTGCACATTTCGTTATTTGTTTCCACTTTCCTCTGTCTCGTGCCAATATGCTCAAGCGGTGCCACATCTATAATAGAGGTTTTTTTGGGTCAGATCGCGTAAATATAAATATTAACGCGATCTAACCCAAAAAAAAACCTCTTAAGAATGATATTGGTCGCGAAAGCCTACGTGTTAAAGTGCCAAATATGTCTGGCACCAATCTCTTAGTTCGTCATCAAGCCATTCTCCTGTGAGATCTACCTCTCTTTCCAGTTTCTTAAATTTTTGTGAACAACACACATTAACAACAATGTAAATATATATTGATCCTCCAATCGAATCACTACCCAGAATTTTATCGAATATTTAGATATCCAAAGACCCCTCGAGAGGCTGGTGCTATTAAAAAACGACAACACTAAAAGGTTTTATTTTTATTTTACCAGGTTAAGGCCCACTGAGCTATATAGTTATTTTTTAGAAGTGACCTGGCCACAATGGATAGCTCAACAAATTGGCTTATATTCTTGGTTCTTTCGGTAAAGTCACATAGAAGGGAACAATAAAATAATAAAAATATAAAACAATAAAATCATCACGACGTTTCGACTGCAACACAAGCAATCATCATCAGGTGTGAAAAACCACAGCAAGAAAATGTTTCCCTTCTACGTCGTGAGAATTGTATTGTTTTATATTTTTATTGTTTCCCTTCTACGTGACTTTACCGAAAGAACCGAGAATATGAATCCCTGCAGTCACGAAAGCTTTAAATAAAAATTGGCTTATGTTGAAATTTATAGCAGCCAACTACTCGAAAAGCATGATTATAAATGTGGAGGTAAAAACCGGAGGACCCGGAGAAAAATCCACACGACCACTGGGAGAGAAACATGCAAACTCCACATATAGAGGCATCAGGGTCGGGATCGAACCCACGACCTCCTGTATGCCAGGCGAGGCAGTTAACATCTCCTAGCCACCGTGGCGCCCCGTCACGTGACGGTGACCGCGGCATGACGTCCTCGCACTCGCAGACACGCTGTGCGGCGGGGAGCTGGGCGAGTTCACCGGTTTCATCGAGTCGCCCAACTACCCGGGCGACTACCCCTCCAACGTGGAGTGCACGTGGAACATCAGCCCGCCGCAGAACCGGCGCATCCTCATCGTGGTGCCCGAGATCTTCCTGCCGATCGACGACGAGTGCGGGGACTACCTCGTCATGAGGAAAACCGGTAGGCGCATCGGTGGGGAGATTTGCCGCCGCCACGCGCCGGTTAAAGCCGGTAGAGGGTTGCTGAACGCGCGCCCCCCCCCCCCCTCCCCCCGTAGTTTATATTCGCCGATAACATTTTGGTAATTAAATTTTTTAGCTATTTTAAAAAGCCGGACTTTGCTGACGAGACCCGGAAGGTCGAAACCGGTCGAGAGCTTTCTCTGGACCAGCGGTCGGCTCAGCGATTTGTTGCGGCGGTGCGCGATTACGAACTGTGAATGTTCCGCCACGATCCTGAACGCGCCGTTTCATTCCCTTGCCCGGGCAACTCTTCCCCCGCTTCGGGCGCGGACGAAGCGGTTGCGGGCGACGATTTCAAGCCGCCTGACGTGTTTGTCTCCCCTCGGGCAGCCTCGCCGTACTCGGTGACCACCTACGAGACGTGCCAGACGTACGAGCGGCCCATCGCCTTCACCTCCCGCTCGCGCCGCCTCTGGGTGCAGTTCAAGTCCAACGAGGGCAACAGCGCCAAGGGCTTCCAGGTCCACTACGTGACGTACGACGGTACGTGCCATCGCAGGCGGACTATCGTAGACGGGGTTTTATTAAGATGAAGGAGGGAGGGAGGAGTGCCAACCCTTGCGCCGGGGGTTGGACAGGAGCCGATCACCGCTCGTGGGGCGATGATAGGCCGATAAGTTCACCAAGTTGTTCCTTCCTAAGTGCTCCTCCATTTACTTTTACCAGTTCCTCCCCTCCCCCTCTTCCCCCTGCTCTGCTCCCTCTACTTTCTTTTTAAAGTTATTTTCTCCACCGCTCGTGGCCTCCACTGGGTGGGGCAGTGAGCCCACCCTGGCCCCTTCTCTAAGCCCAGGTGGCATAGCGTCCGGGCCCTGCGGCCCGCGAAGTTTGTTTCTGTTCCGCCCTCCCTGCGACGCAGGTTTGTGCACAGTACTGGGCTCCTACCGAAATATAATAATACAAATATTTTTTGTTAAACATGAAGAAGGGCCTCTAATAGAGAAAACTCTGGAGAGCCCCCTCTACAGAGTATTTGGCCTACTGTTCCGTGCCAGCCAGACTTCTTTGAAAAAAGTTGAAGTACCCAAATTAGCTTTTAACAGGGGGTATAGATTCCAGGAATAAAATGGTATATGGTAGGCTTAAATTATATGTCAATTTATTAATTAAAATTACTTATTCAATATTACTTAATTTTACATAGTGTCTCATCTATATAATTGCCATCTCAAAATGTCTCATTATGCTCACTCATGATGCTACGAATGGAACAGCAATCTATTATTTACAATTGATGTGAGTTACATGCAAACTATTGGCTTGTGCTACATTTACGTGTATAATGACACACAAAACTAAACATAAAATGACGCAGGATACAACCAAGACAATTGAAGTCCACGCATCGCCTAATGGTTAGGCTTCACGTTCATCATTTGTAACCCAGAAGACTACAATTGATGTACAAGTGGCTGTGCTAAATAGACGAATAAAGTGTTAACTCTTCAAGTGAATCACAGCTCCAAAGCATGACAACTCATCTAATAGCAGGAGGGGTCAATCTGTGCATGCCACGCGGTGGTGGCAATGCACACCGGCAATCCGTGGGCGAACGAGGTGCCGTGCGCTGACTCTCCAGGAGAAGGCAGTACGGCAAAGTGGACTAACCGCCATCTGCGGTTTTCTCCCACATTCATGAACATGCAATACATTGGCTGAAAACATCTTAATATTTAAAAAAATGTGGCCGGAACCTCTTTAAAAAGTGTCCTTGGACTCAGTGTACCTTTCCTGGATACCACAAGTGTTATTAATGTTTACAGGTGCATACCATCGGTGATATTAATGTTTACAGCTGGATGCAACTAATGTTATTAATGATTAATGGTGTATACCACTAGTGATGATGTAGAGACAGTGCGCCGACTGGCGGCCATAAGGGATAATTACGGGTGGGAGAACAGCACACAAACAACAGAAGAGAGTATGCACGTGGGCGACCACAAGGGGGGATGACTATGCCAAGGGTCAAAGAGGGAGTTCGAGAAGAGGGGCGTAGTCAACCCGCTATATGGTCAACCCGCTATATAGTTAGACATCACCGTCATCACTATATAGTCAACCAGCTATATAGTTAGACATCACCGTCATCACTATATAGTCAACCAGCTATATAGTTAGACATCACCGTCGTCACTATATAATCAACCCGCTATATAGTTAGACATCACCGTCATCACTATATAGTCAACCAGCTATATAGTTAGACATCACCGTCGTGACTATATAGTCAACCCGCTATATAGTTAGACATCACCGTCATCACTATATAGTCAACCAGCTATATAGTTAGACATCACCGTCGTGACTATATAGTCAACCCGCTATATAGTTAGACATCACCGTCATCACTATATAGTCAACCAGCTATATAGTTAGACATCACCGTCATCACTATATAGTCAACCAGCTATATAGTTAGACATCACCGTCGTCACTATATAATCAACCCGCTATATAGTTAGACATCACCGTCATCACTATATAGTCAACCCGCTATATAGTTAGACATCACCGTCGTCACTATAGAGTCAACCCGCTATATAGTTAGACATCACCGTCATCACTATATAGCCAACCCGCTATATAGTTAGACATCACCGTCATCACTATATAATCAACCAGCTATATAGTTAGACATCACCGTCATCACTATATAGTCAACCAGCTATATAGTTAGACATCACCGTCATCACTATATAGTCAACCCGCTATTTAGTTAGACATCACCGTCGTCACTATATAGTCAACCAGCTATATAGTTACACATCACCGTCATCACTATAGAGTCAACCCGCTATATAGTTAGACATCACCGTCATCACTATATAGTCAACCCGCTATATAGTTAGACATCACCGTCATCACTATATAGTCAACCCGCTATATAGTTAGACATCACCGTCATCACTATATAGTCAACCCGCTATATAGTTAGACATCACCCTCGTCACTATATAGTCAACCCGCTATATAGTTAGACATCACCGTCATCACTATATAGTCAACCCGCTATATAGTTAGACATCACCGTCATCACTATATAGTCAACCCGCTATATAGTTAGACATCACCGTCATCACTATATAGTCAACCCGCTATATAGTTAGACATCACCGTCATCACTATATAGTCAACCTGCTATATAGTTAGACATCACCGTCATCACTATATAGTCAACCCGCTATATAGTTATACATCACCATCATCACTATATAGTCAACCCGCTATATAGTTAGACATCACCGTCATCACTATATAGTCAACCAGCTATATAGTTAGACATCACCGTCATCACTATATAGTCAACCTGCTATATAGTTAGACATCACCGTCATCACTATATAGTCAACCCGCTATATAGTTATACATCACCATCATCACTATATAGTCAACCCGCTATATAGTTAGACATCACCGTCATCACTATATAGTCAACCAGCTATATAGTTAGACATCACCGTCATCACTATATAGTCAACCAGCTATATAGTTAGACATCACCGTCATCACTATAGAGTCAACCAGCTATATAGTTATACATCACCGTCATCACTATAGAGTCAACCCGCTATATAGTTAGACATCACCATCATCACTATATAGTCAACCCGCTATATAGTTAGACATCACCGTCATCACTGTATAATCAACCCGCTATATAGTTAGACATCACCGTCATCACTATATAGTCAACCCTCTATATAGTTAGACATCACCGTCATCACTATATAGTCAACCTGCTATATAGTTAGACATCACCGTCATCACTATATAGTCAACCCGCTATATAGTTAGACATCACCGTCATCACTATATAGTCAACCCGCTATATAGTTAGACATCACCGTCATCACTATATAGTCAACCAGCTATATAGTTATACATCACCGTCATCACTATAGAGTTAACCCGCTATATAGTTAGACATCACCGTCATCACTATATAGTCAACCAGCTATATAGTTATACATCACCGTCATCACTATAGAGTCAACCCGCTATATAGTTAGACATCACCATCATCACTATATAGTCAACCAGCTATATAGTTAGACATCACCGTCATCACTATATAGTCAACCCGCTATATAGTTAGACATCACCGTCATCACTATATAGTCAACCCGCTATATAGTTAGACATCACCGTCATCACTATATAGTCAACCCGCTATATAGTTAGACATCACCGTCATCACTATATAGTCAACCAGCTATATAGTTATACATCACCGTCATCACTATAGAGTCAACCCGCTATATAGTTAGACATCACCATCATCACTATATAGTCAACCAGCTATATAGTTAGACATCACCGTCATCACTATATAGTCAACCCGCTATATAGTTAGACATCACCGTCATCACTATATAGTCAACCCGCTATATAGTTAGACGTCATCGTCGTCACTATATAGTCAACCCGCTATATAGTTATACATCACCGTCATCACTATATAGTCAACCAGCTATATAGTTATACATCACCGTCATCACTATATAGTCAACCCGCTATATAGTTATACATCACCGTCATCACTATATAGTCAACCCGCTATATAGTTAGACATCACCGTCATCACTATATAGTCAACCCGCTATATAGTTATACATCACCGTCATCACTATATAGTCAACCCGCTATATAGTTATACATCACCGTCATCACTATATAGTCAACCCGCTATATAGTTAGACATCACCGTCATCACTATATAGTCAACCCGCTATATAGTTAGACATCACCGTCATCACTATATAGTCAACCAGCTATATAGTTATACATCACCGTCATCACTATATAGTCAACCCGCTATATAGTTAGACATCACCGTCGTAACTATAGAGTCAACCAGCTATATAGTTAGACATCACCGTCATCACTATATAGTCAACCCGATATATAGTTGGACATCACCGTCATCACTATATAGTCAACCAGCTATATAGTTATACATCACCGTCATCACTATATAGTCAACCCGCTATATAGTTAGACATCACCGTCATCACTATATAGTCAACCCGCTATATAGTTATACATCACCGTCATCACTATATAGTCAACCCGCTATATAGTTATACATCACCGTCATCACTATATAGTCAACCCGCTATATAGTTATACATCACCGTCATCACTATATAGTCAACCCGCTATATAGTTAGACATCACCGTCATCACTATATAGTCAACCCGCTATATAGTTAGACATCACCGTCATCACTATATAGTCAACCAGCTATATAGTTATACATCACCGTCATCACTATATAGTCAACCCGCTATATAGTTAGACATCACCGTCATCACTATATAGTCAACCCGATATATAGTTGGACATCACCGTCATCACTATATAGTCAACCAGCTATATAGTTATACATCACCGTCATCACTATATAGTCAACCCGCTATATAGTTAGACATCACCGTCATCACTATATAGTCAACCAGCTATATAGTTGGACATCACCGTCATCACTATATAGTCAACCCGATATATAGTTGGACATCACCGTCATCACTATATAGTCAACCAGCTATATAGTTATACATCACCGTCATCACTATATAGTCAACCCGCTATATAGTTAGACATCACCGTCATCACTATATAGTCAACCAGCTATATAGTTAGACATCACCGTCATCACTATATAGTCAACCCGCTATATAGTTGGACATCACCGTCATCACTATATAGTCAACCCGCTATATAGTTATACATCACCGTCATCACTATATAGTCAACCCGCTATATAGTTAGACATCACCGTCATCACTATATAGTCAACCAGCTATATAGTTAGACATCACCGTCATCACTATATAGTCAACCCGCTATATAGTTGGACATCACCGTCATCACTATATAGTCAACCCGCTATATAGTTGGACATCACCGTCATCACTATATAGTCAACCAGCTATATAGTTAGACATCACCGTCATCACTATATAGTCAACCCGCTATATAGTTGGACATCACCGTCATCACTATATAGTCAACCCGCTATATAGTTGGACATCACCGTCATCACTATATAGTCAACCAGCTATATAGTTAGACATCACCGTCATCACTATATAGTCAACCCGCTATATAGTTAGACATCACCGTCATCACTATATAATCAACCAGCTATATAGTTAGACATCACCATCATCACTATATAGTCAACCCGCTATATAGTTAGACATCACCGTCATCACTATATAATCAACCAGCTATATAGTTAGACATCACCGTCATCACTATATAGTCAACCAGCTATATAGTTAGACATCACCGTCGTCACTATATAGTCAACCAGCTATATAGGTAGACATCACTGTCATCACTATATAGTCAACCCGCTATATAGTTAGACATCACCGTCATCACTATATAGTCAACCCGCTATATAGTTGGACATCACCGTCATCACTATATAGTCAACCAGCTATATAGTTAGACATCACCGTCATCACTATATAGTCAACCCGCTATATAGTTAGACATCACCGTCATCACTATATAGTCAACCAGCTATATAGTTAGACATCACCGTCATCACTATATAGTCAACCCGCTATATAGTTGGACATCACCGTCATCACTATATAGTCAACCCGATATATAGTTGGACATCACCGTCATCACTATATAGTCAACCAGCTATATAGTTATACATCACCGTCATCACTATATAGTCAACCCACTATATAGTTAGACATCACCGTCATCACTATATAGTCAACCAGCTATATAGTTAGACATCACCGTCATCACTATATAGTCAACCCGCTATATAGTTGGACATCACCGTCATCACTATATAGTCAACCCGCTATATAGTTATACATCACCGTCATCACTATATAGTCAACCCGCTATATAGTTAGACATCACCGTCATCACTATATAGTCAACCAGCTATATAGTTAGACATCACCGTCATCACTATATAGTCAACCCGCTATATAGTTGGACATCACCGTCATCACTATATAGTCAACCCGCTATATAGTTGGACATCACCGTCATCACTATATAGTCAACCAGCTATATAGTTAGACATCACCGTCATCACTATATAGTCAACCCGCTATATAGTTGGACATCACCGTCATCACTATATAGTCAACCCGCTATATAGTTGGACATCACCGTCATCACTATATAGTCAACCAGCTATATAGTTAGACATCACCGTCATCACTATATAGTCAACCCGCTATATAGTTAGACATCACCGTCATCACTATATAATCAACCAGCTATATAGTTAGACATCACCATCATCACTATATAGTCAACCCGCTATATAGTTAGACATCACCGTCATCACTATATAATCAACCAGCTATATAGTTAGACATCACCGTCATCACTATATAGTCAACCAGCTATATAGTTAGACATCACCGTCGTCACTATATAGTCAACCAGCTATATAGTTAGACATCACCGTCATCACTATATAGTCAACCCGCTATATAGTTAGACATCACCGTCATCACTATATAGTCAACCCGCTATATAGTTGGACATCACCGTCATCACTATATAGTCAACCAGCTATATAGTTAGACATCACCGTCATCACTATATAGTCAACCCGCTATATAGTTAGACATCACCGTCATCACTATATAATCAACCAGCTATATAGTTAGACATCACCATCATCACTATATAGTCAACCCGCTATATAGTTAGACATCACCGTCATCACTATATAATCAACCAGCTATATAGTTAGACATCACCGTCATCACTATATAGTCAACCCGCTATATAGTTAGACATCACCGTCATCACTATATAGTCAACCCGCTATATAGTTAGACATCACCATCATCACTATATAGTCAACCCGCTATATAGTTAGACATCACTGTCGTCACTATATAATTAACCCGCTATATAGTTATACATCACCGTCATCACTATATAGTCAACCAGCTATATAGTTAGACATCACCGTCATCACTATATAGTCAACCAGCTATATAGTTAGACATCACCGTCATCACTATATAGTCAACCCGCTATATAGTTAGACATCACCGTCATCACTATATAATCAACCAGCTATATAGTTAGACATCACCGTCATCACTATATAGTCAACCAGCTATATAGTTAGACATCACCGTCGTCACTATATAGTCAACCAGCTATATAGTTAGACATCACCGTCATCACTATATAGTCAACCCGCTATATAGTTAGACATCACCGTCATCACTATATAGTCAACCCGCTATATAGTTGGACATCACCGTCATCACTATATAGTCAACCAGCTATATAGTTAGACATCACCGTCATCACTATATAGTCAACCCGCTATATAGTTAGACATCACTGTCATCACTATATAATCAACCAGCTATATAGTTAGACATCACCATCATCACTATATAGTCAACCCGCTATATAGTTAGACATCACCGTCATCACTATATAATCAACCAGCTATATAGTTAGACATCACCGTCATCACTATATAGTCAACCCGCTATATAGTTAGACATCACCGTCATCACTATATAGTCAACCCGCTATATAGTTAGACATCACCATCATCACTATGTAGTCAACCCGCTATATAGTTAGACATCACTGTCGTCACTATATAATCAACCCGCTATATAGTTATACATCACCGTCATCACTATATAGTCAACCAGCTATATAGTTAGACATCACCGTCATCACTATATAGTCAACCAGCTATATAGTTAGACATCACCGTCATCACTATATAGTCAACCCGCTATATAGTTAGACATCACCGTCATCACTATATAGTCAACCCGCTATATAGTTGGACATCACCGTCATCACTATATAGTCAACCAGCTATATAGTTAGACATCACCGTCATCACTATATAGTCAACCAGCTATATAGTTAGACATCACCGTCATCACTATATAGTCAACCAGCTATATAGTTAGACATCACCGTCATCACTATATAGTCAACCAGCTATATAGTTAGACATCACCGTCATCACTATATAGTCAACCTGCTATATAGTTAGACATCACCGTCATCACTATATAGTCAACCCGCTATATAGTTAGACATCACCGTCATCACTATATAATCAACCCGCTATATAGTTAGACGTCATCGTCGTCGCCGTCTAGTCAGTGAGCGCTATGTTACACTGTGACAGTCGTAGCTGTATGCCGACGAGAAATAATAAAGAAGCCCTGTACAGTTCGTGTCTCTGAAGTCGTTACAATAGTAATCATTACAGCTGGATACAACTTGTGTTATTAATGACTAGCTTTACTACCCGGCTTCGCCGAGACTTGGATTCTTGTCTTAGATTAATACACGGCCTACGCGGATGGTGGAGGGGATGCGTGACGTCAGCAGGCACACTGCGTGACGCTGCCGCATGCGGGTGACATCACAGAGATGTGACGTCACCGCTCACTTGCCGTGCAAAATATATGCATTATTGCGCCCCCACCCCCCCCCCCCCCCCCCCCCCAAATAAAAAAAGCCTATTTTTATATTTTTTGCATTGTGTACAGTCTGGAAGCTACCCACATGCCAAATTTCAAGTTTGTTGCATGTTGGGAAGTATGCTAAACATTTAGAACAGACACACATATTCACAAATTTCCCTTTTATGTATATAGATTACAGCTGGATACAACTAGTGTTATTAATTACAGCTGAGCCTTTGTCAATGTAATCTTGCACGTTCTGTGTTCTCCGTTTGTTCCCAGAGGACTACCAGGAGCTAATTGAAGACATCGTTCGTGATGGGAGGCTATACGCATCAGAAAATCACCAGGAAATACTCAAGGTCTGCCTAAGAGGCTTTTCCTGAGCGGGCAACACAGGCATATTTTCCAACAGGCACTCCAAGAGATTATGCTAATAATACATTATACTTTCCAAACATGTGTGTGTTTTAAATCGTAATTTACACGTTACATTGCCTTAAATACTGCGTGTGTTAAAGTGTAAAAAGTTACAAAGGATGCATTTGCACAACATAGAGCGCAATAGAGTCGTGAGGAGGAAAGCTCATAGGCCTAGAAAAAATTCCCCAAGACAAGTGTTTGACTCCACCTGGTAGTGATGGCTAATACACGTGGTGAGTGATATCCAGAATCAGAACATTAATTTATTCCGGTGGAATCCAATGAGCTATAAAGCTGTTTTTCGCAGATGTCCAGTAGGGGCACGGGCTCAGAACGTTACAACAGCAAACGGTACGAAAACACGATATGAGTGCAAATCATTAGAAGGGGATACAAATCACTTAAAAATATATCCAAATAAAATGAAGATACTTTGTATCTTACCAGGTAAAGCCCACTGAGCTATTAGTTTATTGTTCAGAATCAACCCGGCCACAAAATGATAGGTCAACAAAGTGGCCCATCATGTTCAAATTTATAGCAGCAAAATAATCAAGACGGATATTTCAAAATGATATCCGAACTGTTCCTGCTCCCCCCATCACCTCTCATTCACAAAACCACACTGGTCAGCGTGGTGAAGTATGGCCAAACGACCCCCATAACCTCATAACCTAATAAGCCTTCAGTAGTGGATTGACAAAAGGGCCATACATTAAAAACTCCCAGTCTGATTCTCTGTGGAGGGCACTGTGAAAACCAGATGCTAACTATTGTCCAAATATTTGTCCGCATATTTTGCTCCCTTTAATCCACATGGTGCAGCGTGGATACGCTTGGTAAATAGGGTGACTTCGCCTCTTCTCCCGGGTCACTTCACCTTACCCGCATGAAGGATCCGACAATACATAACGACTGTAGTGCATAGGGGACGTCCATAAATGACGTCACGCACATGGGGGGGGGGGGGGGGTCAGACATTTGTGACGATGTGTGACCGGGGGGGGGGTGGGGGTTTGAGAAATGTGACGTCACATCAAAATGCGCAACTTTAAATAAATATAGACAACACGTTATAATAATTAAATAGACTGTTTAATAAATGTTTTCTCCTACAACATCAGAGTGCAGCGCCACATTAAATACGCACTACAGTGACAATAGTATAAAGCGATTTGAAGCATGTTTTATATTTTTTTGGGGGGGGGGGCAGAGCTTTGTGACGTCATATTTGAGGGGGGTCTGACTTTTTATGACGCTGTGTGACGATGGGGGGGGGGGGTCAAAAATCGTCCAAAATCGCGTGACATCATTTATAGACTGCCCCAAAGGTCTGCGGATGGCTTTGAGTGCACGGTTAATCGGAAGTACGGATAACGGAGACTGGAATCAGAGGCGTTTGTGTGTGCCTGCGCCGAGACGGATTTAACGCGCCGTTGTGCCCCCTCTCGCCCGCAGGATAAAAATTTGATCAAGATTCTGTTCGAGGTGCTGGCGCACCCGCAGAACTACTTCAAATACACGAAGGCGGACTCCAAAAAGATGTTCCCGCAGTCCTTCATTAAGTTCCTGCACTCCAAAGTGTCGCGGTTCCTGAGGCCCTACAAATAACGTGCCGGCGGCCGCAGGGGAAGCACTGCACCTTCTCTTTTGAGTGACAGCTGGAACAACCCTTGCCTTCTGCTCGCCGGATGAAGCTACGCGTGCTAATGATGGGTTCGGGGGGGTGGGGGGGGGGTTCGGGGGGGGGGGGGTGTGAACCGCCCCCACCGCCACCCCCCCCGTCACCCCCACACACACCTACGTCCTGAGCGGATTTTGACTTTTTGTCTTCTAACTCGAGCAGTGCTTCGACACCTAACTAGAGCTTCGGCAAGTTCACCCGAGGCAGAAAACGGCTCTCCCTCTCTTGCCCGGCTAACGGCGGCTGCTGCTGTGCATTTGTTAACACTTCGTAGAACTCTCTCGGCCTTGTTATGCAAGTTGTTCGCCCGAAGACATCCCAAGAAAGTCCAGTGTTTTAAAAAGAAACAATAAGAAGAAGAAGAAAACTTAAGATTTAAAAAAAAAGGCTAAATGGAAAATCTGTAAAAGGACCGCGTGAATAGAAACCTTTGTGCGTACAGCAACGAGTCTTCTGGAAAATATTTCTAAGAAAAATCCCAGAAGATTTTCTTGCATGGACAGAAAGGCACTCTTGCTTGTTATATATGCACTACTGTATTTTGTATACAAAAGGTTAGACTCTTTTTTTTTCCCCCCCAGCAAGTGGGTTCATATCATCAGCTTGCAAGATCACTATTGTATTTATGGACATTAAACAGAGGCTCTGTGGATTATATTACTAGACTAGATGGGTTAAAAAGCTGAATTTGTGTTGATTGCTTATTATACACAGCTTATTAACGAAATGCTGTGTGTTGGAAAGGCGGGGGTGGGGGGGGGGGTGTGTTGGGAGGGTGTAGGGTTTGGGTGGGTGGGTGGGGGAGACTACTTAAAGAACCTGGCCACAATTTTTTGGAACTGATACCAAAGTGAAATGTGATGCCTGAAAACGAATACAAGAGATGTAGAAAATTGCACTTGAAAATGTGAATTCCAAGTCTTCTAACCTCGTGAGCAAAAAAAAAAGTCGCATAAATAAATGAGCAAAAAAAAATGTTGCATTATTTGTTCACAAGCAACCAAACCTGTCGTCTTGGCAAAACAAAAATATATAAGAAAGAACGTGTGGTTAAAAACATAAAAAGCGTCCGTTGATAAGCAGCCCTTAAGAAAATGCAGGGGAGCTCACACACACACAGGATGTGGTATTGTCGGTACAAGCTGTACAAAATGAAGTTGACACATTAACACAAATTAGCGTGTGGCGTGGCAACTAACTGACTGTGAGTTGATGGCTGAAACACATCGTTAGGCCTTTGACTTAAAAAAATGTGTACATTATTTTATTATCGTCAGCAGTTGCTGCTTTATAATCGTAAATGCTTTAACCAAAACATGTATATTGTGTAAAAAAAAACTAAAAAAATAAAAAAAGGTTATGAGATCCTTCACCAAAACGTTGTAACTTAAATATCAGTGGTATATTTAGTTCATCCTTGAATTTACTGTGTGGTGGGAACCCTATTCGTTCATTTTCTGCTCATGAAATCGATACATTTTACAATGATTTAGGATGACATGCAGCAAGTAAATTATATAAACGCAGTCGCGGTGGTGTTCACCACGTTCTATCCACGACTTGTGAGCATTTAAGTCACTTGTACTAAGAATTTGTCACCAGCTCTGATATTTCCAGGATCATCCTCTTGATGCGGTAGCCATCCTGGGAAAATATGCAAATCTTCCCAGGACATTGAGGCTCGATTTGATTTGTCGGTTACGTAATAATACAGAACTCAAGACGTTCTTCTAAATCAGGATGTTGTCAACCAAAATAAGAGGAAGGGCCACATATTTTCGAATTGGCTAAAAGAAAACGTCAATATTTCAAGAGCCGCAATCTAACGTCAATAAGGTTACACGAGGCAGTGCCTCTTAAAGTGCCGCATTGCGGCCATCGCAGCTGCAGGTTTGTCGACCGCTGTTCTAAAAACTTCCTCCCACGATGTGTCATGGGTATGTTTTTTTTTATTACCTCGCCAGCGGCAAACTGTAATTGTACTGCGAGTTATCATTGTTCCAAGACGGATCGGGATGGTTATCGCTCATGCACACGGTGACGATTTTCCAAAGGGACGTACATCTGAAGAGGTGAAGCGATGCATCCCCCCCCTCCCCCCTGTGCAACCACACGGAACGTCACCACATTTGTAAATTCACCGAGGGAGAGACGTGACTGGAGATATGGGCAGAAAATAAAGGACGAGAGAAAAAAAAATAACCACAGTGTAATAATGCATGTCCAATACAATATATCAATATTTATGCGGTACATCAATACTACTTTTCTGCTAGGTTACAACAAAATCCCGAGTATGCATAGATGAGCATTCTGAAGCTTGATGGATTAACACGAAAGGTACTTTAATTGGCGTGTCGCCGACCCATTGGTACGATGGCAAAAATTCCTGTTGCGTTTGCACCTCAGTAGCGCCAGGTAAGATATGGACGTGAATCGCGCAACTGTTAAGCCAATCTATATAATTATGTTTTGGTTCATAGTTTTTGTCTTTGCATTCTAATAAAATGCTATCAATTGTTTTTCGACCATGCCTTGCATTTTATGGTACAGTTTTGACATAGTTTTTGTATTATAATAAATAGCCACTTTTTATGTACCTCTATAATATAGCAAATATATTTGTTGTCGTTTTCATAATATTCTACTGCATCGTAACCAACTTATAGGGTTTAAACATTTTGTTTCGGAAAAGCGCCTTCATTGCAGCAAGGCTGAAAAAGTACAGCGTAGTCTTAACATTATTGAAAGAACGAGTGACCAAAAAAAATCTTTAAGCTCTTGCTCATATACTCATAAGATGACTGTTACCTATGGTAAAAAGTGGCAAACATGTTAACACTATATCTCTGTCGTATACCTGTAAAAAAGCATCTAGCCTAACCTAAACTGCCGTTTGTAACTTTCATCTGTAGCAATTAGCAAAACGTTCCTGTAACAGAAAAATAAATGTTTTGTCTCACGTCGTCTTGGCTGGATTATTGCCGTTGAAACTGTTCGATTGTCACTCTGCTGCAGGTTGCGTGAAGTGGGGGGAAAGTGTGGGTACCTCCACCTCTTGGAGTTCTTCCGAGGCTCTTATCCTCTTTTTGGAAGCTGTTGACCCAGCAGTGGTCTGAACAGACAATGCAGGGCCGGCACCTTTACATATGAAAAGGTTTACATCTGGAAAATGTTTTTTTTTTAGAATATTGACTTAGAGAAATATTTCTATAGTAAACATTTTACAATATTGGCTTACAAATAAATAAAAACAATAAAATTATTCAAATTTCCATTACAAATGATAGAGTTACAAGGGTGTATTTTCTTCTCAAAGAGTAAAATGGTAGGCACGTTAAAAATGGTTATTCTTTGAAATTGTTCCTTTCTCTCCGATCTATTCTCGTTGTGATACTGCCATAATGTCTCAAGACAACGAACCCATTCGGAAATCTCTCATGGATTGCCCCATATATCAGAATACAAATGGGGGATTTCTTTAATTGGAAAAATCCTACAAGTGGGCCTGGATTTCCTTTAAATACGCGGGTTGCACTTTCCCCACCCCCATACAGTCTGCTGAGGTTATCACATCACAATTTAAACTAACATCGTAATTCCCAGAGCTAAAATTTACCTTAATTGAACACAAAACCCAAGATGTGCAGTCATTGCTGCACTTGACAACTCGGCTGAATGACGGTTCGCTGAGATACCTGGCCACTTTCATTTTATTACTTTTAATCTGTACACAATTTCTCTTTTTAAGAATTAAGAGTTAACGTTTGCCCAGTATTTAAAAAAATACGTGCCAGTATGTTCTCATCTGAAAATTCCTTACCCTGCCTCCATCCTTACCACTTGTATAGCCAGGTCCACACCCGAGCAGATCAGTTGCACAACAACATCGCTGAGCAGATCGATGAATGTAAGTAGAGTGCGCCTCTACGATAAGAAAGTGGGTGTGCAGCTGGAGCGATTTGGTTGCATGCAACGAAGTTGCAGAACTGATGGTTTGGGTGTCAACCTAGCCCAAGGTTGTGGTTTAAACGGAATCGTTGATCACGCATAACGGAACAATGGCCATTGTGACATTGCACATGCCACGACTTTTGCTTAGTCGGGTTTACATCTGTCCAGGTTTGACCCGGACAGTCCAGGATTTGGGATCTATGTTCTGGTGGCAGGAATCGATTTGTGCCAAGATCTTGCATCAGCATTGTGTTGAACCTAATTACAGTCGACTGCACAATATTGATTTGACCTCGGCTGCCTGGAAAATATGTGGACCCCAATCGCTAGGTTTAACCTTACGGACCGGCAGCCAATGAATCATGGGGGTGTCACAAAATGAGGGTAGGCAAGGCCTCGAATTTTTCAATCAGCTCCCGTTGAAGAATTCTTGCGAATAAAATTTGATGAGTGACTAGTAACAGAAGTGAGGGCATCTCCATGCCCATGGCACTGCACAAGACCTGATATTAGGGATACGTGGAAGAAAACATTGTCTTGGAATTACATTTTCATCATCGGCCATGCTTAATGCACTGCTGGATGAAGGCCTCCCCAGATCTGCCATCGTTCATGACGAACCTACTCTGAGATGTTGAGTTGATGAGAGAAGGTTTGTTGGGGGCAATAGGATGTGGTGGATGCCTGGACTTCATCTATAGGTTACGTTACGTGCGGTAAGTGATCCAGCGTGAACCCACCTTAAGCCTTCCACTGACAATTCCGTTTCCTTTTCCCGAAATTGGCGCCTGTATATTTGGAGCTTTGCGTGTCCCTCTCCCCGTGGTCGCGTGGATTTTTCTCCAGTTGCTCCGGTTTTTCCCTCCGCATTTAAAATCAACGTCGCGCGGTTAGAGTATTTTGACTTAAACACATTTCCACTTGCTAAGCCACTTTGTTGAGCTGTCATTTGTGGCCAGGTCGCTTATTAAAAAAAGTTATATTGCTCAGTGAGCCTTACCTGATAAAAACAAAAGAATATGTTCGTTTACATCGTGAAGCGTAGACGTGAGGGGCAATAGAAGTACTGCCCAACGGATTTTTGCCAAGAACGTGCATCATCACAAAGCTCAAATGATTTTTTTTTAAATGCAGAGCAACATTTTTTTAGTGCATGCCAAATATCGTCCGTGCATCGTTGAGTAGTGGCTTTGTGGACGACCACTTGTGTTGCGATCGAAACGTCGTGATATATTATTTTTATTTTGTTTTATTTTTCTACCTACGTGACTTTACCGAAAGAACCAAAGAGTATGTGTTTATGGTTTTTTTTATATAACCGGGCGGTGTTGGCACGCACGCCTGTAATCCAGCCACTGCGGAGGCAGCAACGAGGGGTTAGTGGATCACAGCACAGACGTTGCAATATTCCTTTCCCATTGGCGTCGAGAGGAAGCCGTGCCCCCTGGCTCGCCAGAAGGCGGTCACAGCTAAACTGTGTCGGGATCGAGCGGTGTGTCCCCACCCCCTTCCCCCCTAGCACGCGTGGTGGCATTTTCTCCAGGTGCTCCGGTTTACTCCCAAGTTGTGAACAGCCATTCGTATGATATGCCATCATCTTCGGAGGTGCGGGGGAAACAACACGCAGCGCATAACGCTGCAAATACGAAGGAGACGTCGCAGCGATGCACCACTCCGCTGGCTCCTGACGCGGTTGTCTGGCCTTGAGCACCTGAATGTGATCTTGTAGTTGATGCTCTGCATCTACACCAGCAGCCATCATGTAAGATGAAGAAAAAGAAGATTGAGGACTTGGGCTCACTGATACGCGTTACACCACTCCACCACGTGGTGGCAACGAGAAATTGCAAGCAACGAGCGAAAAAGGTTGAAGATTGTTTTAATCTCTCCCCATTATCATCTCGGCTCGGGAAATGTGGCTGATGGCAGTGACGTTCCCGCAGCATATCGCTAATTATTAATGTCAGCGAATTATTTTTTAATTTGAAAAAAAAACCACGCACAAAACACCCGATCTCATCAGGTCTGCTAAGCTGTGAAGGTTTAACACGGGGGAGGCTTTCGCGACCAATATCATCCACAAGCTTGTTTTTTTGGGTGAGATCGCGTAAATCTATAATTGTCATTAAACCCGCCACCACCCCACACAGCCAATTAGTAAGGTTCCTCACGCAAACAGAACGTGCCAATTCGTCACTGGTACAGTACTAACCGGTGTGTTGAAGAGCCAAGCCACTACGTTTACAATCAGAGTACGACGTTTCGCCAGTAACTACGAAGGGTTAAGCCTGGAGAGTTCTGAGAGTAGTGGACGAGAAAAAAAAAGCGTTGTACTGTACTATATTCCCACATGTATGCCCCCCCTACACCAACTTTGTACGATGCACCGCATGACCAAACAGAGCCAAACGTTGAGAAAAGCGAGGCAAAAAAGGTTAGGTCATCTGGACTTTGCAACAGCTTTGGATCATGGTAGCATCGATCGCACTGGTGACTGATGGACCGTGACTGCGTGCAGCTCATTACTTAAACGCTAAATTTAGATTTAAAGCTTTCGCGACTGCAGTAATTCATATTCTTAGCTCTTTCGGTAAAGTCACGTTGAAGGGAAACAATAAAATAATAAAATATATATAAAACAATAAAAATTCTCACGTTTCGACCATACCACAAACGGTCGTCATCAGGTGTGTCGGTTCGTATTAATTTATTTATTTTAAAGCGGTGTATTTATTTATTTAAAAAACGCCATCGCCACGGGCAGCGATTTGTCAGTTAATTTAGAAGGACGAGTCCATCTATGTTCTGAAAAGAGGAGGGGGGGAGACGAAAACTTAATGTATGCTGCCTGAAAGCCACCGTAAGCGTGAACAATCAATTAAGACCTGAAATGGTTTATCAAATCTTTCCAATGATTGGCTTTGCAATAAATAAATACACCGTTTAAAAAAATAAATTAATTAATGCAAACCGACACACCTGATGACGACCGTTTGTGTTATGGTCGAAACGTCGTGAGAATTTTTGTTTTATATATTTTATTATTTAATTGTTTCCCTTCAACGTGACTTTACCGAAAGAGCTAAGAATAATACTTAAACGCTGTTCAGTATTTGCAGTCCAATATGTAAAAACTAACAAAAAAATATAACACGAGAACTAGTCCGTCTATTTACGTGGAGCGATTTTAACTTTTACCTTGTTTTCATTGCTCACGTTGAGGGTTTTGTGCAACTCTCCCACGCTAAAAGTCGTAAAAATAAATCACCAGTCACGTCATTATTCAACGAGGACTCTCCTCTTTACGTCTCCCCTTGTGCCGTTGGTCTCCACGAAACACGACACATTCTTCAAGCACTAATTTAGTTATAATAGGGTTTTTCCCCTTTTTTCTGGCAACAAAACTGAAACCTTTTTACACGGATTCATGTCTGCATTAACCACAATACTTGCAGTCAAAACGCAAACAAAAAACACTGTGATAATATATGCATTGTCCTTGAAACTGATTGGTCCACACCAAGGGGACGGCTTTCTTTAACTAATTTAGTTGTGCAGCGGTTGTGCACGCCTGTCGGATCACGGCACTGCGAAGGCAGAGGATTAGCGAATCGCGGAAATGGTGTTAAAACTCCCTTCCTGCGGGTGTTGAAGTGCCATACATTGGATTGCCATGCGGCGATGAAGTAACTACCGACTCCATCTGTGTGGGCTGGTGTTGTCCCCCGAGCACGCGTGGGTGCTCCCGTTTCCTCCCACGTGTATTAACGCTCATGAATCGACTGGACATGTCCATCCACAGGGTGCTTCAAAATAATGTTAACACTTACATGGGACTATCGTTTTTAATGGGAAAAAAGAACGGATAATACAGTAACATAACAGATGTATGTTAATAGCTTTAAAAAGTCAGTCTCGACTTGTTCGCCATCGTCAACACGTGCCCGGAATCTTCTCTGGGTGGTCCCCGGAGGCACATTTCTTGTGGTATTGCTGCAAATTCTCAAAAGTGTTAACGTTTTTTTGAAGCACCCTGTAACAGAACACTGGAGGCTTGAGCAATTGTTGGTGCCGGTTCACAACCTGGCTGCCTTCCAGCTTGCCTGTGGTTCCTCGCATCTTATACATCTCTCTTCGAGTCTATGTAGAAGTTCTTTCGGACTGTACATAGGCAACCGTGCTAATCGGAGATTTGGGGGGAAGGACAACTAAACACAAAAAAGCTATTCTATAGAAATGAGTTTTCAATCTAGATGATTTAAAAGTGCATAGCTGCAGTGGCTTACTAATATCAGAAGAGCGCTCCAGACGGCCACAGAAGCGCATCTAAAATCGCGCGATGCAGTGACCATGGAGTGACAGTGAATATTGTGCGCGATACAAGGAGAAAAAAGTTTATACTGCTTAGGAAGACGAGCAAAAATTTCAAAACGAACTCCGGTTCTGTGCAGTGTTGTTGTAACGTTCGTAAACCCGAATACATTTCTAATTATTCACTGTTAATGGTCCTGGCCGAGTTAATAGCCCCAATTCAATTCTAGACATAACATGTGCCAAACACTAACGAGATGATTATCGGTCATGCTGTAGTCACCATGTCAAATTTGAAACCATTGGGGAAAAAATATTGGTTGAAACATTTAAAAATGTAATGTTCATATGATATGCAAATTTGGATATCCACTGCCTGTATTTTTACATTACTGTAATGTCCGTGAAATAATTATTCGCACTCTGCTCCAAAACAGCACAAAGTCAACGAAATTCATGACCGTGATACTATTGAGACTGCACAGCTTGTGAAACCACACACATGCTCAGACAAAAGGCACGCACAACACGCATTTACGTTTCAGTGAACTTTTAATGGTGAATAAACAGCGCAACAGTCGGGAATAGTTACTGTGGAGAATAGTGCGTTACAAAGGGTGGCCCGCTTTTGGACATCATGCACAAGCTGACTGTGCTCAGATATTAAAAATTTTAGAAGGGGGTGGTGAACAAAGCTAAGGAAGACTCTTTTCCAAGACCATAAAATGCGTTCACTTTAAACCTTGCAATTTTTTTTCATTTTTTTTCGTTTTTTATATGTATTTTTTAAAACAGTGGTTTCCTTATCAACTTCAATGTTCGTCACTTTTGCTTTACTTAAAACTAGGAGTGGCTGATCCATAATAAGCAGTCCTGCTCGTTCATATTCATTTTCTCATCAAGCGTTCGAAGAAAAAAGGTCCTTGCTTCTTGGCTTAAACAGTAACAAACACTTAGCTGTTATAATGGTTACCTAAGGAGGTTTCTACTTTTCCGCGTTACGGAAACCGAGCAATGGCATGGAAATAAAAGTCTAAGTGGGCTCTAAACCTGGGGGGAGGAAGGGGAGAGGGTCCGGGAAAGCTGGGTCACACGGGGTGGGGGCTGCATGGGATGAGCATCTACTCGACGGACTGAGCTGTCATCGAGCCGGTCATGGGACTCTTAAAGCGCGACTTCATGAGAGGAGAAGTGCCACGGCCTGCCAGCGCACACAGAGATAAAGCCTGTTAGCGAGACTCGCGATGGCCAAAGCCCGCCATTCGTATGCGTCACGAGAAGCTTTATAATTTTGCCGATAAATGGAGAATGCATTTTTTGTAAGCAAATGATACTAACTGAAGCATTGCTCTTACGGTTTTGCTATTAATGGCAACGCGCATTAAATGTTACTTTCTAAGACTCCGTAAATCCAAACACGGCTGTATACTGTGAAAAACCATATTAGGAATCGCCAATGGTGAGTGCGCAAATTGTGTCACTTTTAAAATGTGTTCCATAGTATCTCCGTGCTTCCTTCCTCGCTGCTTATGTAGAGAATGTCATATGCCTGCGGTCATGTCTTACTGACACCTCTTCCCCATCTCCTGATACTTTCCAGTCACAGTCGTGCCTCTACGATGGTTTCTTATGAGCAGCACCGTTCTAGCAAACTCCCCTGCTGCTTTCTCCGCGCTGGCGATACCAGCATGCAGTTGGCGTATCACGTTTAGTTCCATTTACAAAACCCCAGTCAAATAATACTGTGCAAACGAACGAGGACAACTACAAAAACACAATGTTAAACCAATTTGATTCCAATGTGCATATTTCTGAACCAATTAACTTTTGAATTCACTAAAGTGTATTATGTTTATCATCGGTCTGTCAACTGACCTTTTTCTTTTCAACCAAGACAAAGGTCATGCTGGCAAGGGATTAGAAAGTCCTCCACCAGAGCTGAACATGAAATGTAGGACAGAAATAAAAATGCTAGCAACAGACATCTGCACTAAAAGAACTTTATTTGAACAAGAGGCAATTGAAGTGAAGATTAGCAGTTCAGGAAAAAAGCTCCATGAATATAATGCAAAATGATTAAAACCAAGGTACAGATTTCAAATATGGTAATTTTTAAACCTTAAAATGTCAAAGCAGTGGCAAAATACTTGGGATGTTCCCAGGACTTGAGAAAATTTAAATTACATGTACAAGATTTCTCGTTGGAAAACAACATAACCAAAAATGCAAATAACTGTGAGTGTGTGACAGGTCAAGGGAAACAAAGTCATACATCCTTCAGGTACAAAATAAGTTGCCACCTAAGCTGGTACACAAGACAATGCATAACAAGGGAAACAAGATAGCTAGTGTCTGAGATACTACTTACTGTATGGTTATCTCAAGTGTATAGACACAATTACCATCACCACATGTACAAAATACCATACTATTCACCAAAAGGCAATCTTGTATTCCACAGCAGTTTTCGTTAAATTTAGTGATTGCTTGTGCAACGTTCAGCGTGTAAAACCATGTCAAGGTGCATAAGAAAACCAAAATCACAGTACCAAACAGTGTAATTTTAACAAGGCCCATAGCAAGTATGAATTCACATTTGGGTATGACATTGACATTGTAGAGACAATTGTATCGTGAAGCTCTCTCGATGTATGCGGTAGAAATAATAGATTTCAAGTTTAGTATATTACAGTATGATCCATGCAGTGATTTCTGGTGTGGGGCATTGTGTCTGTGCACTTCACAATTCTCTACGTATGGACTATGTCTGTCTATACACTTAAGAAAGGCGATGTCTGAAAAGGTAATTTCCAAGTAACCATACTGATGTTTTATTTGATGTTGGGGAAATTTACAACAGAGTTGAAACAAAGCCATCCGAAAACTACACACGATAGTTAACATTTAAACTAATAGGTCATCCCATCAGGCACAATCATTTGAGGAATGCATGTTAACGATGCTTAACAGCCATGGACACTTAACGAATGCCCGACATAGACAGTGACTACCCGAGTGGTATCACAGTGTGCGATCACACAGAAGCCTCAATCAACATTTTTTTACGTTGTATGTTGTGCACCACTGTGTAATCGCACGATTAACCTTTCCCAGGATGGCTTCAAAAACTTTTGCTAAAAGACCGACGGGAACATTAACCCAAGTGTGTCGTTTTCGTTTCAATCGTCCGTTTTAACCCTACTGTATTTCTCAAAGACGCTCGGGCACGCGTGTACGTACACGTACAGCTGCCCCGGTGAAGCAAGCGCCCACCCCCCACCATCCCCCTTCCCACCCACACCGTGGATCAGGAGGGTCTCCTCCAGCCAGAGGGTTTAGTTACCTCCGCCCCTAGGCGCACCACGAGGCCCTGCTGGTCCCGTGCCACCACGCTTGTAGCCCGTCTGGTAGCCTCCCTCCTGGAAGAGATAAGCACGATGCCATGTTTTAGGAAAATACATTTACTGTCGCTTGTAATAGTTGTCACAAATATACGAATCCCCTTTCAACACTTATATTGGTACATCAATGATGGCCCCCCGCCACTGCACTCCAGGACTCAACTCTTTTAAATGCGCTGACACAGCACCCCCCCCCCAAAACACGTAGGCCCTTATTACTTGCATTGAAAAGTCTGCCAGATGACATCATGTAAACGCACGTGTCAATCCATTTCTGGATGAGTGACTTCCCCCCCCCCCCCCACACACTGTACGGGTCATGGGGGTTTACTTTTACAATACTTCACTGTGCTGATCAGCACAGGTTCATGAAGGTGGGGAGCATAGACGTTGGCAAACATAACTATGGGATTCTGTTGCACTGCCATCTCCAGACACAACGTGGTGCCGCAGCCATAATAACAACCTAGGCTTAAGGTTTCAACAGCACCGATTGTAAATCGTATTCCAACTTTATTCGGGTGTGGACGATATGAGCGACTTTGTCACGAGTTGTTGCTTAAGTCGCTCACCTTACACCCCATCTCCATCAACTGGGTGGAAAGGTAGGCGACTCGTGAAACAACTAACTGTTGACCAAGTCACACAAAGTTCATGCCTGAATAAATTAAGACTATCAACGATAACAGCTTGTCCGTTTGTTTCCCATTAAAGCACTATCGAGACTCAATCCTGCCGAGCTTCCGAGATATGATGAGATCAGGTGCTTTCGTAGATATGTTGAACTTATTTTGCACCGTACATAGCCAATTGTGCTAATTGGGAGGTGATTTGGTCATCGGACATGTTCATTAATTTGTCACTGCACAGCTGCAACTACTCGTATTTTCCCATGCTGACCTCACCATAGAGAATTTGTAACCTCTTGCTTGCAGTCAAACAAGTTATTGTGGTAAATTATCATGCGGTACAAGTTGTGATCACTATTACTTACCTGCTGGTGGAAGCCCATGCTGTAGTTGCGAGGGGCGAAGGAGTTTTGTCCGTAATTGTTTGCCGATCCTGGATAGCCAACGTGGAATCCTTCGTAATTAGCACCTGGCGACCAGAAAGAAGGCATTTCAGAAGGCTACAATTTGGAAGACACGTGGATTTAATGTGGGACTGTACAAATGCACGGTTTCTTCATAGATATTTTATGTTTTTTATTTTAACCTGAAAAACTTCCCATTGTTTACTCCCTCCCTATAAGATGTTCACCAAAAGGAAGAGTGCATCATAGCCACTAAAAACCAGTAGCCAGTAATTAAAAACAGTTGATGCCACCGGACAAATCTATAGCCAGCCAAGTTAGACTACACAACCACCATGTGCGCACGTGTGTGTGTGTGTAAATTAGGCATGTTTCTACGCACCGGTTCATCAATATCTATATCCTTATGCTCATGAAACGTATAAGATTTGTGTGCGAAAGAAATAATTCATTACAATGTAAGCGGAAATTATGTACAAATGATAGGCTAAAGTTGTTGCATTTAAAACAACGGAAGCAATAATAACTGTGAAATTGAGAAAAACCAAAGGCACACGAACATAAAGGTAAAACGAGAGAAAGAAAACAAAGGGTTTGCCAGTCAGGGTCCGATGATTGCTATGCCTGACCCCCCAATTGAGCAATTTTATAACAATCACGGACCAGCCACGGGCAGAAGTGGCGAGCCGCTCCGCTTACCGTTGAAGGGGCCTCCGCGGGCGCCCCGATAGTTGTTGGACGCTCGGTACCCGTTGGTGCTGCTGCGCATGCCCCGCGCGGTGCCCCTGGGCATCCCTCGGCTGTTGTAGAAGGTCTGCGCCTGCCTCGAGAAGCCGCCCCCCCCACCCACGCCTCCCTGGGGCTGGCCGGCCGACGTCGAGAGGGTCTCCTGGGGCGCCTGGTAGCTGCTACTCACCACTGTGGTGGTGGGGGGTGGGCAGGGGGAGGTTGATGAACACAAGAGTTAAGTCTCTCACAAGACCTTGGGTGGACAAATGTTCCCGTCCGATTAAACAAGCATAACAATAACATACGATGCTTTAAAAGCAGACGGTGTTAACATCACTGAACCATTCAAAGAAAATGAAAACTAAATTCCAGGCTTAGAATGGATCCTTTAAAATGTTTTAGTCTTCAATCAAGACAAAATTAATAATTTCGTAAAACTACTACTTACCAGACTGTTCAGTCATCAATCTTTACGACTTGGTGTAAGATTACTTTTAAGTTTTCACCATGTTCAGTTACCAATCTTTAGGAGTTGGTTGAATCGATTACTTAAAACGTTTTCACTATGTTCAGTTACCAATCTTTAGGACTTGGTTTAATTGATAACTTAAAACTTTTCACCTCCGCACACACTACACAACTGGGTACTGTGGAAAGGAACAATGAGCCTACGCAAGCTTTATTTCAGTGCTTGCACGGCCATTATAATTACACATGTAGTGTAGGTGTGTTTCGAAGGATTGAGAAAAATGGGGTTTGTTCTGTGAAATGTGCGTATCTGTCATTGCAGGGAGCTGGCAAGGGCATGCTCCTTTCATGTTACCAGTTTGGAAGGCATCTGTCTCCAATGTCAGCTGTGCCAGGGCTCCTGGCTGGGACAGCTGGTGGGTCTGGGGCTGCGTGCTGTAGCTGGCGGTGCTGTATGGGGGCTGCGAGGGTGGCAGCTGCTGCTTGATCACTTCCGTCTCAGGCGGCAGTGGGGCGTTCACATTAAAAACCTGAAGAGTACATTGCAAAGCGAGGTCATGGTGTGGCGTACACACACAGCGTACGCCTACACATGCAGAGGAGATTATATTATTGAGATGAATTTATATTCTGTACAGCGTGTTTGCGGTTAAAACACAACAGAGGATAGCGATATAATCAAACACCTGATTTGGGGCACGACCAGCTGTGTGCTTGTATCAGATGTCACCCTTATGTAAACATGTGTTGCTTAAATACGAACTGTGCTTAAAAACAGCTTCGACCGTACCTGGTCGGATGGCTGCATTGTTAGAACATGTGGCTGACAATCCAAAAAGTTGCAAGGTGAAATCTCGCATATAGGGGAGTCCAATCAATCTATCATGCCTCCGGAGTCAATTAAATGAATGCCGATCTGTGGAACGTTGACAGCAGCCATTCCTGTGGCTTGCGCGCCCCGTCATGTGAATGTGGAAATTCCACAGCTGTCTTAGGGATGCATACAAGGGAAGCAGTAACGGCCCCAGGCTTCCCTTGGAGTGGGTAACCAATTATTAATTTCACTTCATCTTTGAATGTGCAGGTATGTACTTATAATGTAAAGCCCATCCGTGAGTTAATGGACTGCAATGCACAAATAAGTGGATTCTATAAAATAAAAAATAAGGAATCACTTGGGACTTAAGGCAATGCAACTGTAAAATTTTAAATGGATGCTTCAGCGGCATACAGATGAAAACATAACACTGCACTAAACTCCCATGACCGGAGAAAATTCTAAATCAAGTTGTGAAAATACAACTTAAAAGCACATTAAACCTCAGAAATACCACGTTAAACCCTGCTGGCTGCAGACATTGCAACTTTCAGCCAAATTTTCTCCGCGTTGCGTGCTCGTACGGGGCAGCGCTGCCAGATTAAGGATTTTTATTTCCATTCTGAGCACTTTCAGGTGCTTTTTGGAATAAGGAGAACCCACAGGGAGTTTTGTTAACAATCTAGGGATTTCTGGGGACTTATTGCTACGGTAGAAAAGCACGTTACACCGAAAAGCAATCATAACTAAATATGTCCAATATCCATGTTTCAAGGACAAGCAAAGCTTTTCATAACTGGAATCAACACATGCGTGTCCAGAAATTGGCAAAACTTTAAACGTAGTTTTATCCCCAATCGACAGACTTTTCTCCCCCAATTCCATGGCTTAATGTGACTACAGAGATTCACTTTTATAACGTAAACATATATTTTTCTCTGAAGTATTGGCAACCCGAATATAAAGAAAGGGGGGGGGGGGGGGGGGGGGACTTGGTGATAAGCCAGGGTTCGTACCGTCTGCATCGATTGGAAGGGTGCAGCATTGACGTTAATTCCACCACTGCTCAACGGCTTTCCAGCCACTGGGATCTGCTCGGAAGCGAGAGGCAAGCACTGAGGGCACGAACACACACACACACGTGCAAGGTTACAAAGAGGCAATAACTGGTATCGCCAATGCACAATCTGTATATAAAACAAATACCGCTACGCGCAGCAAACACTATGGATGCGTGTGAAATAAACACCGTTTTACAGTGTGTTTGACTTTTTTAAAACTCGGTTTTTTAGGACTCAAAAAGCTACGAGGCAAAATATATAATTTGTAGAAAAAAGGTCAAAATGTATATTTGTAAGTAGTGAAACATTCACAACCAAGTGTTCATAAAAAAAACAACCACAGGGCAATGAGTGACATAAGCACAAATGATGTATAAGATTAATCAAATATGAAGATTTCGGACATTTTTGGTGATTTTGTCAGACACAAATGTTAGATTTGGACTAAGGAAGCAACTGAGGCAGAAAAGACGAAGCAAAAAAAATAGGTAGTAGATACAGAACAAAAAAAATCTCCAGTGAAATCATGACTGCATTGTAACTATTTATCTAATCATGAAATCATGGGGGGATGGGGGGCGATCGTTACATGCCTAATAGGAAGCGGTAGTGTAGCGGTTAGTGCGCCGTGCTACAAACCCGGCGACCCGAGTTCGATTCCCGCTCACAGCCAACACCAGTGACCATTATTTGAGCCAGACCTGGGCCTCACCTAGGTCGACTCAGCCTCAAATGAGTATCTGGTGCTATGTGTAAATATCGCCACTGGGGAGACAAAGGTGGTCGGGCAAGGTGATGGCGACCCATTCCCTCGTGCGCCGTGCTGGCCTTCATAGGTGCTTGCTAATAGCACTTGCCCCAGGTCTGTTAAGGCTATGCGGGGGGATCTGTCTTTGTTTTGTTACATGCCGAATATTTAGTACACACACCATGTGAGGGGGGGGGGGGGGGGGGAGTCCAGCCAAGCGCTACCTGTGTCGGGTCGATGGTGGGCTGCTGTGGCAGGGCGTCGGGGATGTGTGGTGCGCTCTGGTAGAGCGGCTGTGCGGGAACGTACGCATCACTCACTGCTGTACAAACCATGGGAATCTGTGGGCAAAGCCAATGGCAAAATCAAAGCAAAATGTGTCAGAACATTCCACGTCTTTTGTTTAACTATTGAGTCTGTTAAGCGATATACATACTCTTTGGTTCTATTCGGTAAAGTCACGTAGGTAAATAATAAAACAATAATCACGACGTTTCGGCCACAACACAAGCGGCCTTCATCCGAATAGAACCAAAGAGTATGGATCCTTGCAGTCACGAAAGCTTTAAATCTAGAAGCGATATACAACTCTACAGTACTGCAAGCCTGGATAGGCATAGTTTCGTAGGGTACTGTTAAAGGTGTTGATAGTTGTAATTTAGCTGTGGATAATCATTTAACCTTTTGAGTTTGGCTACAATAAACAACAAACAATGGCCCACTTTGAGGTAGGATGTCAAAAGGTTTCTGTCTATTTTATTGCAATCTGCAGCCAAATTGCAGAAATCAAAATCAAACGATCCACATTGTAAAAACTGCCGGAGTATTCAGTCACCAAAACCACTAGGCAAGCAAATAAAAACTTGCAAAGAAACAGAAATAATTTAGTTAGTAATCAGCATCCGCAGCATCAGACTTTGCTGATAATGCACTCCAAGAAAAAATACAGACCAACAGATTTTATCCACCATGTGACCTTTGCACTGTTTACGACCCAAAGCTAAAAGCTGCATCTGCTCCAAACGAAAAAGCAAAGTTCGCTGATATAGTCCTGTATACAAAAACTTTAACGATACAAACCATTACAACAATATACATTATTTGAAACTGACAATACTGCAGATGTGCTCACTCAACTGTGAAAAGGATGGTTTGACACTGGAAATTTGGTTACACTGATGCAAAAAAATATTTGATTTTCATACGATCAAAGGTGAGTGAAAGGAAGATGTGGACAAAGAGCAATCTATTCTAATTATATGGAATTCCATCACCAGTTGATAATCAAATACAAAAATGACCGTGCTCCTTAAATACACCAAGAAAAATGTAAAAGCCCCCTTTATAAAGCAGAGTTGTGTACGTTCGTAAAAATACGTGCATTTCATACATCAACTTGTATTGTACTGTGCTTAACATTTTTTTTTGTCAAAACCGTTCAGACAAAAGTGCCTCTGCCCTCACGTGTGGCCCAGGAAGAGATGCTTTCCCTTACCTGTCCCAGCTGCTCAGTGGCACCAGCATCTGTGGCCAGCACAGCTAAGCTAGGGACAGGGTTAGACTGCAGAAGGGAAGAGGGGGCAGGAAGGAGTTGTGCTGCGGATAGGAGGGGCATCTACAGATGAACAGCAGAGAATGTGTACAAAGTGGAGGAGAAAGGGGAGTAAATATAAGATAGCAAAAAGAAGAAAAAAATATAGCTTAGAAGCATTGTTTTCATAATCGATGCAAACTATGGCACATTTGTTTTACTTTTCCCAAACCGTAACGAGGCAAAATAAATTAACTCGTGATAAAAAAAAATCACAAGATAAAAATTAAATAAAGCAAGCAACCAATTGTGCCGAACAATCAATAGTTTTTAACACACCACAGAAGAGTAAAATGTACTTACTTGATTAGAAGACTGTTGGGGAATGTCAGACTGATTCACTCTGTTATCTGGAAAGACAAATATATGCCCGATTAGACAACTGTACATGAAACGTACACGGCAGCACAAAGACAGCACTCGACTACCACACCCAAATTTCCTGCTGCGCTAACAACGTACTATAATTATCGATGTATACACACAACCTGCTGTCTTTACAGCATCCGCCGTCGGGTATTCATAATAAGGGCCACTGACAAACAGCTCACCTGCAAACAGTTTTAATGAATGCTCCCAAGATGTGGCACACTTGAGAAATATTGCTAAGCGACTCCAAATTAACGGCAGGCAACAACCACGTACCCTCGTGCATCTCTCTCTGCCCAACCGCGACCGAAGCAGCCACGCAAGAGACACACCCTGCCAAAGGCCTCAAAAATAAAGAGGAAAAACTCACCGACTGCAGATGCCATGGTAGACCCCTCCAGCAGCTCCACAGGAGCCATGGGCTGAGCCGCCACAATTGCAGGGTCCACAGGAGGCTCGTAATCCAGCAGGGAATCCTACAGTGCGCACAGACATTAGAAATAAGCCACCTTTTTCCGAACAAGAAAAGAGTGGTTTCCAACAAGTCCACAGCAACGCATCAAAAGGGCCATGCGTCCAGAATGTGAATCGAGACGATTGCCGCACTTCTATTTTAATCATATAAAATATAATTACAGGGCTTTATCAGTTCAATAGTGGATGACCCCCCCCCCCACCTCGTGCTGCTTTGGTCATTGAGATTGTTTAGCCATTGTGAAGGTGGGTGAGTGTAGCCATAACCAGGATTTAAACTCAGGTCACCAGATTCAGTGCAATATGCAAACCACTGCACCACCACTCATCAGTAGTATGTATTTGTTTTTTTATGAATATTTTAAAATGAACGATATTTCTCATCATCTTGGCCTCTCACGTACAGAAAGTGCCCTGGAGAGGTGGATTCATGTGGTGTATCTACCAAGAAAAATACTACTTGTTCCATTATATGGAGGTACTGCACTCTTCTTAAACATTAGAAAACCGTACAAGTGGCAAGCTGCATGCTGTTCGTGGGAGGCAGCTGCTGCCCATTCCTAAGTTAATTTCTCTGCCAGCACACATTGGTCTCACATGTGCAAGTGTCAATCAAATACCTCTCCTGAAAAATGGAAGGGGACAAAACGATTGCTACCTTAACTTACATAATGATCCACATCAAGTGTCACATTATTCGTACCCTACAAACATTTGTTGAAAGATCTCTCTTCACATTAATATAGGACTGTTTCTCTCTAGCATGCCTTTTTAAAAAAACACCCCAATATGGAACCTTATTACTTGGAATGTGAACCGGTTTTAAATATGGATTCAATTCTGCGTAAATGTCAACAAGTCTTGGCAATAGAAACTGCAAAATCGACATTTCAACATTTAAAGAATTGCTTGAATTTCGAGCAGCGGGGGTCATGAGTGGGTCAGGAGGGGAGGCAAGGTGGAGGGGGAGTTTGATGGAGACTATTCCATAAATGCAATTAACCAAAGCACCCTCTGAAGTCATTTTCCATTCGGTCATTAGCAGATGGTGTGCCAAGGTGCTGCCAACTTGTGGCATCCAATTCCCTCTCTTCCACAGTCGACCAAAATATATCTTTACGATACCGTTTTAGAAAGCACAAGTGTTGTGCAACCTTATCATTGACCCTTGACTGCAAAATCATAAATCTAGAGTGAAGGAAATGGGAGGACCAACAGCCTCCCGGTTAAAGTTGCAAATATAAACTGGGCAGAGCAGCCCACTTTTGTTAGGCTGCATATATAAACTAAAGTCTGTCAGCAAGATTCTTGAGACAAAATGAGGTGTATAAAAAATCCACTGCAAAAATATTTCAGTGGTTTGTTTTGGTCTTTTCTCAAATTGTTACAACTGATCACTTTATGCAAAAGCAATCCTTGAGATAAGAATGTGTCATCTCTACCAGAGGCTCATTAACCCACATATGCGTGCTTGAGCAGGGACACACACGCTCCGACTTGTCACGGTTACTTTGACAACAGGCGACGATCCCAAGTGACTATGGCACACAAAGACCCCCCACATATAGCCTTAACAGACTGTTGGGGCAAATACTGTTAGCGAGCACCTAGGAAGGCCGGCACGTCACACGAGGAGGTGGGTGGCCAGCACCACACCCTTTGTCTCCTAGTAGCAATGTTTATGTACTCGTTTGAGGTCGAGTCGACCTAGGCGAGGCCCATTAAAATCGTCACCGGTGTTGGCCGTGAGTGGGAATCGAACTCGGGTCGCCGGGTTCGTAGCCACCACCTCCACTTGGTGCACAAACACACACACGCACCTGCATGAAATCAAAGGTTCCCTGAATGCGAGCCATAAGGTCCTGGACGTGCTGCTGGCGGAGCACGGGGTCTTGAGGGGCAGGAGCTGGAGCGGGGGGGACCACCTGGGCCTCTACGACCGGTGAGGGTTCCGTCACAGGCATGGGCCGCTGCTGGAAAACACAGGGATGCGCATACTAAGCATCAGTATTTTTCTGGAACCGTAAGCCCCTTTAACGCATTTTTCAACCCTCCGTTAAAAAGGCAGTGTCAATAATGACTATATTTTTGTAATACTTTAATGGGTGCCCTGTAACATTGCCTAGAATTTGGCACGCGATAATCTTTGTATTTACGTGTACAGCCCCTTTCGTCAAATCCATGCTGAATGAGGGCATCCCCACACTGTGCTGGTCTTGGGAGCTATTTGACCATACTTGACCATGCTGGTCAATGCAGGTTGGCAAACGCAGGGAACATGGATGTTGTACCATAGTAGAATACAACAAATTATTTTCCTGTACTGCCCTCTGCTGACAACAAATTAGCCAAACGGCTGAATTGATCAGATAATCCTTTATCCAAAACTGCATACATTACTAGGAAAATGCATAAAACATTGCAGTCGTGCTAAAGAAAAACTAACCGTGTTTTTCATCAACACTGCCTTATAACAGAAAAAAACTATTTTTACTTTGAAGCTCCAAACGAAGGCCACTGATTGAAACATTGTATATATTTTAATATTACAAGGCAGTGTTCATAATGAATGTGGCGCGTTTTCTTTTTGAGTGATGCTTTTATGAAACTATGCTTTAAAAAGCCAAAAAAGGGCACCTCGTTTATCACGAATGTCTTATACTACAAGTTATAATCAACACTGCCTTACAAAAACAGGTAAAAAGCAAACTTTTGGAGCAACGGCCCTTCTACTATGATGAATGTGGTGGGCTATATCATTAGTACTTGGCATACATTACTAGTCTTGAGACTCAATGAGGCTTTCTGGAAATATAAATTACATTAAAAACGTTCACATCCAGCAACGGCTCAGAAGATTAAAATATAACCGGCTCAGTAGATTCAAATATAACAGAAATTTCTAAAAAAATATATATTACGCCTGCACATTTTTGCTTTTAACGTCTTCTGAAATGTCTTGGATTATCACTGGAAATAAGACTACCTCAACAGGCTCGGAATTCCACGAAGGAATCTCTTCCGTCTGTTTGGGGATGAAGTCTGTCTTGGTTGCTGCTGCCAGGAAATGTGTATTGACAAACTGAAAAGGTACAAAGAAAGTATTTCCAGTTAGGACGTCTGCTTTCCACATATACTGCGTAGAGGAAAACAAGTTAAACGTTGCTATCAAGGATCAACTTTTGCGCCGGCATACCTCACGTGGCTGGACTTCACACACATTTTCAAATTCCTCAATGGGTTCAGGTTCTGCGGTAAAACATCACAGCGAAACTTAAAAACCACAAATTATATCCCGCATGTTTACACTCCAAAGCACAAACTTGCAGATTTTTGAAGCGCTGTTTTCCTGTACTGGGCATCGTGTTTCCTATTTTTTCATTTAAAAAGAAAAATAATTTTGACTAATCTGTCAGAAGTTATTTCAGATTGATAATTATGACATCGGTTATATTTTGTCACTTCCATGCTTTTCCAAACAAAAGTAGTGTCATGTGATGTTGGGTAAAAGTGTCCTTCAAATTTTAGATTATTTCTTTTTGCATTCAAAACTCATTCCTATCGTGTACAGATTTTATGTTTATTTAGAGTATTTTACATTAAATTATTGCGGTAGTATTCAAAAAGTACTTCTGAAATCATGGGCTCTAGTATTGAGTCACCAATATGAGTGGGTCCTTATGCAGCAGGACTTCAATTATCCAAGTTGACCAGAAGTTTAAAATATCTATCACCCTACAAATAGCATTCATGCGCTTGATGTGGTCATACCATGTTCTTGCTAGAAAAGTGTAATGCACTATGAAATAGTCTAAAAACAAGACTTCTAGAGTATCTTAAAAAACGATCTACAACCCAATAAGCTCAAGGGTGATCAGAACTCAATGATAGGTAAAGGGATTTCTCCTTAGTTGGGGTTTGCCTTTTATTTCAAAAGGACAGATGCATACAACACAGCTGGTTTGTAACCGATTAAAACAGTAATATAAGGGGACAAATAAAATATGTAGAGGTACTTATAGCACCATAAAAAAATAATGTAATAGTGAAATGAATAAAACATGGGGTCTGTACAGTACCAATTTCTGGGACTTGCTGCTGCAACTGCTGCAGCTGTGGCTGCGGCTGAGGCTCAGGTGGAAGTGGAATTTCTTTCTCCTCTTTTTCTGATTCGGGAGAACTTGCAAGGTCTTGTTCCTCTGATGGTGCCTCCTGAAGCCCATTCTGTGGCGTGTGGATGTTATCGAAGTAGCTACATTCACGGACCCGATCGATGACCTCCTTTATGATTTTGTCTGCATACAGGGAGAGAGAGAGAAGCTCTTACATCGAAAACACTTCAACGATAATTTTCTTTCACATATATTTCAATTAAATTTATTTTACGTCAAATTAATTAAGTGAATACAGAAAACAATATTAACTGCCTGCAAGTATTGTAACCTAACAGTGGAAATGGTTTTGAGATTTTAAAACATTTGTGATATTCCAGATGTGGGATGTCAAAAAATATATAAAACGATGAGTAATTAAATGTTTACTTACAAGTAGTTCCTGCAACTGGTTTATCCTTCCCTTCCACCAGATCCCATAAGTGCTGCGATGCTTGCTCCATCTGGGTTTCAAAGCTGTAATAATAAATCAACGTAAATAATTCATTAAGCATGTAAATAAAATAAAAAAAAGAATAAGAACCCACAGCAGTGGAATGGCCAAACCTAAACAGCACTCACATGCAAGGTGACTCAGAGGTGCTGAGCCAGTGTGGCTTCGATCCTGTCTGTGATTTCAGTCGCTTGTGATAAAACTAAATTATCAAGTAGTGAGGTAATGCCTTAGCCCAGTCAATAACTGCATTAAAAATGTACCTGATTGGGCTTATTTCAGCACTAAGAATTAAGTAACTTGGTTTGATTCACATTCGATGATAAATCTTTGCAGGCCATTAAAAGGTTTTCCACTAATGAGGGCAGGTGGCTTTGCAAGTGACCCCAGAAGTAGTTATGTTACGTAATCTTCTGGGGCAGTCCTGACACGAGACTGCTCAGCTGTAAGTTCCAAATGCAACTAATGTATTCTAATAATGTGACGCGCACAGTATATTTTTATATGACTGGGAAAGAAAAAAACACTCACTGCGACAAGCATAATGTCTCAATCAAACCAATGGAATGCTGAGGTCATGTGGGGAAGAAATTGGACAAAGGGGACCCCACCTCCGTATTCCAGGTCTTGCACCAGGGCCCATAACAACCACAACATACCACTGGCATACCGTAATCTCAAAGAATCCAAAACTCTAGGGGAGACTTCAACAAATAGTGTATCGGTGAATTATCGAATGCACTGCTCAGCAAGTCGCGCAAGGGACAGAGAGAGGCCGGCCCCACCTGGTGGTCTCCACTCGCTCAGGGTTGACGAGCTTGTAGAGGTCGTCCAGGTAGGCCATTTCCTGGGTCAAGAGCAGAGCGGCACCGTTCTGGCCGGCCAAGAAGTCGAGGCGTGCTGCCTCCCCGTCGCCTAGGCTGTCGAGGATGTACTGCACCTCCAGCACGAGCCGCAAGCGCTTCTGCTCGGCCTCTTCGCGCAGCAGGTGCTCACGCCGCGCCGCCTTCTTCTGCACCTTCTGCACCTGGAGAAGGAAAACGACGGGCAAGCAAACCGTGACGCTTGCTGCGGAGAGCGGAGCACTCGAACACGACGGCCACTCCGGTAAATAATGGCGGGTGCGCAAATGAAAATACGTATTTCGCCGTGAGCTTCCCAGTGAACGTTAAAGATCCCGTAGCGTGATTTGAAAAAGAGACTGTCTGCTGAAGTCACGGTCTAAATTATCCACAATTTTGAACCAACTCACAAATTAGCTGATTGGGTAAAGCCGCATAAGCGACATCACCCCTCCTGTGAAACTCCTGCAGACTAAAAAGTTGTCTGTAAATATACAGCCATGCACTGTAAGAATAAAAAAAAAATGTTCCAACGTCCAACGACCTTGCGGGGGAACTGCGACACAGCCGATTGGCACCCGCAGGCGCTCGCCCTCCCGGCGTATGCAACAACGGGTTGCTTGGATAAATCAGAGATGAAGGTGAGGTCGTGCAGGGTGTAATGAGACAGTTGCGGAGCTATCGAGCATGCAGGCCATGCCAACTGTGCATGGGCACACAGCCTGAAGCGGCACAGGCTACAAAAGGTGGGAAATTGGACAGAGGGACCCATTTTCATTCCATGCACCAGGGCGCATGCCAAAACTCAATGGGAGCTAAAATGTGGGTTGTATTGGGGAATTACCAAACTATTTTGTCTCTTACTGGGATGATGTAACCGTTAACGTGTAGTCCAATGAACGAAATAGGTCTTAGGGCAAAATTGTCGTTATATAAACGTGGACTTTGACATTAAACTGTAATTAGGCTTCGCAACCCAAGTAACCCACAAACATTAAGAACAATTTGTTCCACATGCATACAAGTGATAATCAATAAGCTCCCCTAGCAGTGAATGTAAAATGTAACTATGTTCATAGAATGTTTTTTTAAAAAATTACCCAAGTGAATTGTACAACTCAAGATTATAGCAACAAAGGTATCTAAAATGAGGGAAAAACATTTAAATGTTCAATGAGTTATGGTAAAACTATAGCCCGCCCGCCCTCCCTCTTACATCTTGGTTGAGTGAAGCAAAGGTCTTCAGTAGGTCTCGGGCAAATTCCAGGCTGCTGACGACCTCCATATACTTAGCAACGGCTTCCTGATGGCAAAACGACAGATGTTTCAATTTAAAACACTTGCGTGTAAACCACACTGGCGACTTAAAAAACCGAGCTACTAAGAGCACAGCAGCTGCCACACAGAATGACTGGCTGTATTGTTCTGCAGGGCATGCTGAAGAATAATGTACCTGCTGGTCTTGGTTGAGAGCATGTCCATCGTTAAGCTTGGCTTTGTAATCATCCAACTTGGACTGTTGGAAAAGAAAACACACGTTGAAACTACTGATACAATACACTGGGTATGCATGCCTGGGGTATACTCACTTTAAACGTTTAATTAATTGTATGTTGGCAGAAGTCAACCTCATAAGGCACCAATGAGGAAAATTTTACTTTCGTTTTAGAATACCTCTATTTAAACACTGTAAGAGGTTGACAAGCACTTTGCCGACTGCCAAAAGAGCAAAAAGCTATTGCTGAACGTGCATAACAATTTTCCTCTGGGGCTTTGCTGGAATGGGCCACGAACTTATAAGTTTGTTAAAACATATATGTAATAAGGGGACAACACTAGCATGGTGGGGCCAGCACTGGGTCACATAATCACCACCATCGTGACGGAGCCCCCTGAAGGCAAAGCCAAGCATCTGTGACCAAGGAAATTGTCACAAGAGTACAGAAAGGTTCACACAGGAGACCACCCCATTCGACAAGGCCCATTCCCATATTCATCCAATACCTTTCCACCAACCAGAGTACAAGAGGCTCACAAGGGTTTGTGCAGTATGGTCATGGTTACAACCAAGTTTAACCTCGTATGTAAAACTTAAACGCAATGGTTAAGCTTCCTTGAGGAATAATAATCTTCGGCGAGTGCATCTATTTGCCCAATAAAAACAAAATACCCTCGTTGCAGTTGATATCCACTACCACGACATCAGTAGTCCACTTCCTCTTTACCAAACACTGCAATACTGGGAAATGGCAAGCAGAGGAAAATGTTAGTTGTGGAAATTTGTATGCATTCATGCGGGGGTTGTTTGCGTGTTGTCTTTTTCCACAGAGGTTGGATTTTTGCCTCAATAAAACAAAGCCAATGTAGTGTACATGCCTAAGGTTTAAGTTTATATAGCAACATAAAAGAATACATCTCACTTACCTTGAAGTTACACTTGAGCACGCAAACAATTTTTATATCACATGAGCGTCAGTCACAATGCAGGCACACCAACGGACTTTGTTACATAGACGGAAATTATGAAAGTTAAATGTATTAGCTACAAAAACCAATGCAGCCATCATTTAAATTACTACAGTTATATATATATGAAATTTACACACATAAATGCATGGACATAACCACACGCTGGCACACACCGCTGTAAGGGATGATGACCGATGGTCCAGCCTACCATCAGTGGGCAGGCAAAGGTGGTAACGCGCCCGAGATGACATGGAGTGATGCCATCAGCTCGTGTTCAAGGACGAGATCGCATGACCATAAGGAATGGCTACGGCTTGGGTAGGCCTTAATCTAGCAGTGGCTTGATCATGGCTGGTGATAACGATGAACCACGAGACAAGAATATTCACAGTAAAACATTAGGACTGAACACTTAAAGAGAGGCACTGTGGAAATGAATCCTAATAGGTCAGCAACAGTTACTTATATAGCAATTTAATAATAAACAGGTCGGGGACTCATGGGAAACGGATCCCCAGTCACCTAGGCTTGAGCCAAGGGCCAGGCTATGATGACCAACACATCCCATGCAGCTCTATCATGGCAATTAACGTCATATCAGAATAAATAAAAACGAGGCCTTGCCAACAAAAGGCCCTAATAAAAAACAGGGCGGGATTCATTAAACACAGCTCTGTATAGAGGATATGATAATTATATTTTTTGTGCAACATTCAATACAAGGGGGCTGGAGGGCTCTGACAGGAGAACAAGACGAAATAATATAAAATATACTATGTAGCGATACACCGAGACATGTATAGAGTATATATAGATATCTTAAATACACTGGAAGTGAGGTAAATACACAGCTAGAAACATACATTTATGGCACACCGATAAAGAGACATGCATGACAGATTAAGGGATATATTGACTGATTTATACTGGACACACACAGTTTAATAAACAACATTCTGAGATATTCAATACATATACAAACAGCAACTCACATAGAGACTGATGTGTACAAGAGTATAATACATGACAGACAAGCAGGGACAGATGTACACTTTGCGTAGCCTAGACATAGTACAAGATACTATACTTAACTATAGGTCAATGAAATAAAGCCATGAAAATTAGAAGGTACATACCATGTTACTGCACGGCAAGACAGAATAATATACTCGACACAAAGCTAAACTACGCCATACCGTACTATAAAACGACAGCAAGACAACTACACACCTATAAATAACTAAGATTGTACACACAGCTGATAGGCGCCTATTATACACATGTATATAGCACACTCTCTAGAAGGCAAACTATATACCTGTACAGACACAAGAACGAGATACGCATACAATGCAAAGATCAGCAGCATAGCGACATATTTATACGAGATAAACTGTGTACATAGAAATATAACTTGAGATATTTACACGAGATATACTGTCTTATATAAAGAGCTAAATAAACCATGAGGTGTATAAACACACACACAGACGAGATACAGTTTAAACGTGTTGTTGAAAGAGACAGGGTCTAGGACGACACTTACTGAATAAACAGTACAGTACATAACAGAGATAACGACTGTGACACGGACAAACCGATAGGAACACAAAGTGGGACGTGTGACTGGCACACAGAGGCTGAATGACACAGACGATGACTTGGAATCAGATACAAAGACCCACCCTGTGTCACCTTAACAGACTGTGGGAGCCAAGTGCTGTTAGCGAGCACCTATGAAGGTCGGCACCACACCCGGCCGCCTTTGCCCAGGACTGGTGCAGACAATCGTCACCGGTGTTGAGCAGGAATTGCACTCGGGTTGCCGAGTTCATAGCGCGCGGCGCGCTAACTGCTACACACTACCGCTCCAAAGACAAGTACAGACGTGCACACATCGAGACGCAACACCCTGGTACAAGCACAACGCTGCCCGCAAGGCTGAGTCGGGTGGCAACACGAGATGAGATGGTTTCGCGTCTCTTCCCTCTCTCGCACGATTTTGTTTTTGCTAAATAATAACGGTTATCAATCGGACATTTGTGCAAAAAATAATATGTGTGTGTGTGTACGGATTCATCAACCCCTCCTCCTCCTCCCACCAGCCACCACACCCCGAGTGGGTTCGGGGGCCCAACTCAAGCCGCGTGGTCGTCGTGATGGGGGGAGCCATGTTCAGACTTCCGACCACGTGAGTGGGCGAGAGACAGACGGGGATTCATAGGCGCAGGAGAAAGGGCTGTGTGGATTGTACAAGACGCGCTACGCGCCACGGACACATCGACGAGGTCACGGAACACAACAACAATAATAACAACAACAATGTGCGGTACAGTACACGGGAGAGGAGAGACGCGGACGGGGCTCTCGCTCGTTTTGCATGGCGCACAAACGGACAATGGCCGAGGTTTTAAACACGGCAGGAGGGGAGGGAGGAGGTGACGGTGGAGATTATGTAGCGTGGGGAACGCTGCCGACTAACACGGTTGTATAGTGGACTCGCATACAAAGGGCGGGGGGAGGAGGAGGGCTGGGAAGAGAAAGACGAGACAAAGCAGAGCTTAAGACACCGTCGGGTTGGGTTTACACATCATTGGATTGCGTCTGCAACGGTTCTGCCTTAATATAAGGACGATGCATATTAAAAATACCAGAAAAGATAAAAAAAATATTAATAAATAATGTAGCGGAAGCACGTGGACGAATTAAGGACACGGGATTCGACAAACCGCAAGAGCACCGCGTAATAGAGAGAATATGAGATGGATGTGATTAGACACTAGGCAAAAGGTTTCCATGTGAAGGACATCACACGCGAGCAATGATGGTAAAACGGCGATCATGATGGTGATAGTGAAACTACATGTGAAGACACTATTGTATACGTACAGTATTTATAACGATTATACTTTGGAATATTAGATGGTGGTGATTACATAACGATCTATACTAGTAGAGATCGTACCAACGAAGCGTGCCTATAGTCTGGAATCTTCTAAATACCTTAACACTCGTTTAGAGACCAACAGTGCCATGTATGTTGAACTTCTTTCGCACCCTAACGTAGCCAACCGGAGGTGCGGGATACATAGCCACTGGTGGTGGTTCATAGATGTTGTCAGCAGCAACGAACCGACTGAGCAGAGTGGCAAACACAGCCAAGGTAACACGGTAAGAGTAGTGATGAGGGCAGTTTCCTTCACTTTACTTAATCCAGCAGTGATGCCAACCACCCACCACCACCACTAGCTTAAGTACACAGATCTCGTCAGATCTAGCCAACGAACAACGACCTTTAAACCCAGGAGCTACTTCCTACGTTAATAATGAGCGAACGTATTTAGTGAAAGGTCCTTTTTGCCTTGGCTCGGCTGTAAAGTAACAACGTATCCTCCCTCCTTGCACGCAAACAGCTGAACCACCCAACTCAACAACCCAAAACCAAGCAGTAGCTGTAATTTAAGGCATTGTTATCGATTCGCGTGTTGCTGGTGTTTTAGTGTCTGTGATTGTGCACTACTGCCAACAGATATCACCAAAAATGATATGGTATGCCAATATACACAAGAAGTTGGTGGATGAGCATAGCGAGTGAGGTTTACCTTGCGTTTGTCCAGGTTCCTTAGCCCAACGGTAATAACCACCCCCTAGTTGCACATATACATTGTAGCTATGCGGCAAGCAACAAGACCGATCTATACCTAGCAACAACTCCACTTTACATTCACGACGATTCAATCACGAGTAGTAATATTGGTTGTCTGCTACTGGCCCAGTAGACAACCACCACCACCCGAGCCAAGCTGCCAAATAAATTAAGCTAGCACCAGCTATACCTTAATATTAATGACGACGACGATGAAGCTGCTGCTGCTGATGAGGAAAACATCACAAGTTAACCCGACGAGAGCTTCCACCTTCTCTTCCAACTCAAAGCCATCAACACATGAAAATCACCACCCATCAACTAGATCGAATGTTGATGTAGCCAAACTGCCAACGGCTGCCAACATTCCATGTTAATGCAATCTAAATGATGATGATGATGCTTGCGGATGATTGAGGTATGAGGGGGGAGGCATCATGGAGCAGTAAAAAAAGACGTGAAGATCAGAACCGCCTCAACTTTTCCCTTCCTGACGTTTTCTCGGACCAGGCCAGCAGCGATATGAATCGTCCCCATCGCTTTAGTCGTGCCGGAAGAGAACCGCGAGCCAACAAACGGTCAGCCATTCCACGTTAATACAGCATTGATGACAGTAACAATAGAACATTGAGAATGTACGCAACTTATAAGTCCTTCGACGAAAGAGGAAGAGTAAAACTACAACCAAGTCGCCCTCCCGTAGCACACTCTCGTCGCGGTCAGAAGGCCTCGGACATTGGCAATGAACTCCTGAACGTATTGCCAAGAGTACTGTTACTCGCACTGAAAGCAATCGTGAGTTTTAACACGAACGTTACGGCATCCCCACGATTGGCAATCGCCTAGAGGTAGGCGCTAACAAAGACAGAGATCCCCCGTGTAGCCTGTAACAGACTGTAGGGGCAAGTGCTGTTAGCGAGCAGCACCGATGAAGGCCGGAACGGCACGCGAAGGGGGTGGGTGGCCAGCACCACGCCCGGCCGCCTTTGTCTCCCCGGCGGCGACGTTTCACACCCCGCGCCAGGCACTCGCTTGAGGCCGAGTCGACCTCGGGGAGTTCCAGGACCGGCTGGGATAATAACCCCGCGTCAACTTCGCGTTGGCCGCGAGTGGGAATCTAACTCGGTCGGGGGGGGCCGTCGGTTTCGTAGCGCAGCGCGCTAACCGCTGCGCCACCGCTCTCTCCCCCCCCCCCCCCAACAAAAAACCCGACCAGCTCCCACCACGCCACCCGGACGCACCAAGTCGCCACGCAGCCCGACAACAGCAGCGACAAACGAACAAGGAAGGCGGCGCGCAACGGAGCGCGCCAACATCCCCGCGTCAATCAAACGACGAACGACGACACAAAAAAACGACGGCGCTACCGACGACGACGACGAGAGAGTCAACAAAAGACGCGCGCGAATCCGCCGACGCTTGCTCCGGACCTTTCTCTTCTCGAGGTTCCTCGCCTTCTTCTCGAGCACGAGCAGCGCCTGGCGTAGCGGCTCGGACCACGCCGTCTCGACAGCGGTGGCGGCGGCGGCGCCCGAGGCCGCCCCGGCTGCTGCTGCCGCCGCCGCGCTCACCGCCTTCGTAGTGATGGCCGGCATGACTTTCTCCCGCGCTGCGCGTTTAGTCTTTTATTGATGTTGTTGTTGTTGTTAGATCGCCGAGGAAGCGAGGGAGGGTAAGGAGAAATTTGCGTCGATTCGGGGAGGAGGGGGGTCGTTTGTTTGTTTGTGTTTTTTATCCGAATTTTTTTTTAAAGCAAAGCGACAAGAAAAGCGACGAGCGACTTGAAGTGAACGAGGAAGAAGAGGGGGGGAGGGAGGGAGAGAGGGCGCCGCATCGGATTCCACACAACGGACGCGCATAGCCGCTGCCGCTCTATTGGTCCAAGCGCCGTCACGTGACTCCAACGTACGAGGCGGTAGGGGAGGGCGGGGGCTCCCCTATCTGTGGTGGGAAATGCAATTGTGATTCTTGAAGGGAGGGGGGTTGAAGGGGCGGGGGGGGGGGGGCGTGAGGGGGCGGGGGCCGGACACCGCCGCGCAATGCACGCTGGGAAACCCCCCTCCCCATTGACAACGCGCGTTTAAAACAATAAAAAAAATTAACGCGTAAATTTAATTGCCCGCCGCCTCCCCACCTTCTTCTTCTCCAAGTTACGGATCTTGTGCTGCACGATGGTGACGCTCTGCTCCCACATGGCCCTGAGCGCGGGGTCCTCGGGCGGCTGCCGCGGTAGCTGCGAGGCTCCGCGCGGCGCCGCCACCGCCTCGGCCACCGTGCTCCTCCTCATGGCCCCGCGCATGCGCACTGCGCGCCGCGCCTCCATTGAGCGGCGGCGTGCACGAGACAGGGCCACGTGGTGGCTCCTCCACGTGCTGCGCGGACCCCCCCCCCCCCATCGCCGGACACCCCCCCCCCCCATAGCCGGACCCCCCCCCCCCCTTAGCCAGACCCCCTCCCCTTAGCCAGACCCCCCCCCATAGCCGGACACCCCCCCCATAGCCGGACCCCCCCCTTAGCCAGACCCCCCCCCCCAAAGCCGGACACCCCCCCATAGCCGGACACCCCCCCCCCCCATAGCCGGACCCCCCCATAGCCGGACCCCCCCCCCATAGCCTGACCCCCCCCCCCATAGCCAGAACCCCCCCCCCCCCAAAGCCGGACCCCCCCATAGACCCCCCCCATAGCCGGACACCCCCCCCCCCCCCCATAGCCGGGCCACCCCCTCGCTCATCCACCCTCCCTGTCGCTTCCCAACTCTTAGTTCAGCTTAGCCGCATGGGCTTGCAGCTATAGCCCGGCTTTTAAGATAGCCGGACTCGCCCCTGTTAGTCCGGTTTAGCAGCTTGGGCTTGCAGCTATAGCCCGGCTTTTAAGATAGCCGGACTCGCCCCTGTTAGTCCGGCTTAGCCGCATGGGCTTGCAGCTATAGCCCGGCTTTTAAGATAGCCGGACTCGCCCCTGTTAGTCCGGCTTAGCAGTCTGGGCTTGCAGCTATAGCCCGGCTTTTAAGATAGCCGGACTCGCCCCTGTTAGTCCGGTTTAGCAGCTTGGGCTTGCAGCTATAGCCGGATTTTTCAGCTTGCCCAGGGGGTCGGCCACCAAAATAACAAGAGCCATTTTTTTCGAATATTGTAAAAAAAAATCCCCTCAATATTTCAAGAGCCACATTGCACGTGGTGAATATGAGACGGTGGTCCTTAAATGACGTCACGAAGCAGTCTTACAAGAGCCGCAGGTTGCCGACCCCTGAGCTAGCCCGACTCGCTCATGTTAATCCGGCCAGTCGCTGGGGTTGTCAGCCATAACCGGACTTTTGAGTTAGCCAGACTCCCCCCCCCCCCCCCCCCTCGTAAGTCCGGCCTAACCATCTGGGGTTGTTTTCAGCCTTAGCTGGACTTTTCAGCCATAGCCGGACTTTTCAGCCATAGCCGAACTTTTCAGCTATAGCCGAACTTTTCAGCCATAGCCGGACTTTTCAGCCATAGCCGGACTTTTCAGCTATAGCCGAACTTTTCAGCCATAGCCGGACTTTTCAGCCATAGCCGAACTTTTCAGCCATAGCCGGACTTTTCAGCCATAGCCGGACTTTTCAGCCATAGCCGAACTTTTCAGCCATAGCCGGACTTTTCAGCCATAGCCGAACTTTTCAGCTATAGCCGGACTTTTCAGCCATAGCCGGACTTTTCAGCCATAGCCGAACTTTTCAGCCATAGCCGGACTTTTCAGCCATAGCCGAACTTTTCAGCCATAGCCGGACTTTTCAGCTATAGCCGGACTTTTCAGCCATAGCCGGACTTTTCAGCCATAGCCGAACTTTTCAGCTATAGCCGGACTTTTCAGCCATAGCCGGACTTTTCAGCCATAGCCGAACTTTTCAGCTATAGCCGAACTTTTCAGCCATAGCCGGACTTTTCAGCCATAGCCGGACTTTTCAACCATAGCCGAACTTTTCAGCTATAGCCGAACTTTTCAGCCATAGCCGGACTTTTCAGCCATAGCCGGACTTTTCAGCCATAGCCGGACTTTTCAGCCATAGCCGAACTTTTCAGCCATAGCCGAACTTTTCAGCCATAGCCGAACTTTTCAGCTATAGCCGGACTTTTCAGCCATAGCCGGACTTTTCAGCCATAGCCGGACTTTTCATCCATAGCCGAACTTTTCAGCTATAGCCGGACTTTTCAGCCATAGCCGGGATAGCCCCTGTTCGTATGTTGAACTTCTTTCGCACCGTGCAGCCGCCTAGGCTTCCAGCTTTTGCCAGAATTTCCATCTAGTTACGTGAACGAGGTGTCCAACAGTTACCCGTCATGTTTAATTCTGTCACATGGCTGATTGTAGATGCAGAGGAACAACAACAATGTCACATTCAGGTGGACAAGCCAGACATCCCCGTCAGGAGCAGCGGGGTGTATCGCTGTGATGTCTCCTTAATATTTGTGGATCGGCAATTTCATCGTGAAATGTCGTGTGGTCTGTTCTGGATGACCTCAGTCGCACACTGGAGTGTTTTATATATAGATATTTTCCGTTTGTGCATCGGGTATCCCCATCTGTCGTGGTTTGTGCAGTGGATACTGCCTCCATTGATACATATATAATCTGGGAAAGCCCATGTGGTGCCTGCTTCTTCAACGCCTGTGCTGCTGCTGATTATGCTGATGAATTTGTGAATGTCTGTGATATTACATGCAACAGCGATTCCAGCTAGCTTAGAGCGCTGCATGGTAGCTCAACGGGGAGTGGCTATGGATATTAGGCTATAGCGTTCTGGATTCAGCTCCATTGGCCTGTTTGGATTTGTATTGTATCAAAAACTAATGGAAATCAAAAGATAACTCTTATTTTTTTTCTCTCATATTTGCATTTGTGTAACTACCACAATATGAACGATGTAATAACATTTACAGCCCTCCCCTAATCCCTTGTAGTGTCGGGAACAACACGGTAGCGTTGCCAAGCAGTCGACCCGGGGTCGAATCACCGAAGTCCAGGCATGACAACTGCATAGGTTCAAATCCTGGCAAAGGTGAGTTGCTGAATAATACGCCGGAAAGATGGTAAGTGCCTATGCGAATGTTAACTGACTTGTGTGCAGAGGGCAGGTGGAGATGTTGGAGAACCTGGAAGGGAGACCTGTGTGTACACAAATGGACCACGTGTGCAGGTGGATGTTGAACCCAAGGAGTGGAGAACTTGATCCAGATGTGATGAAGGTGACCTGGGTGAGAGTGGAGACAAAAGGAAGGTTGAGAGTTGGACCGGACAAGAAGGAGACCTAGAACAGAAAAGAAGGGAATGTTATAGGTTTGTTTTACACATACACATTTTATGACCGCTAGGGGGCATTTTTTACCACCAGGGGGCGCTGCTTAGCAATAGGGGGCGCTGTTTAATTAGGATACGCATTTAAAAATGTCATTTTCTTGCAATACCCAAAACTGAAACAGGTTTTTAACCCATTTAAGCGATTTTTCATGGTTTTACGCAAAATCACGTTGAAATCTGCCACTTAAACTACAAAAGTGATGCTGAAACAGTAAAATAGTGATATTCAACGACAATAGTGTCCTGCTTTGCTAAAAGTTGGCATTACAACTGCTGTTTACATGACAAAAAATGTTTTCTACAACAAAATACATGTCAGAAAGCCTAAAACAGTCGTGAAATCTAGTAAAATGAACCCTGATGACTGGAAATACACTCATCCAGCAGTGGAATGACAAAAATTATTGCATATGTACAAACAACAACCAGTAAACGTGTTAAAACAAAGTAAAATATCAAACTCCCATCAGTTGCGTACATTTTCAGAAAACGATTAAAAGTTACTGGTGGTGTTTTTAACAAACAAATACGATTCATAAAGGTTTTTGGGTTAGATCGCGTTATTTATAAATGTGTCGTAACCCTCCACCACCCGACATGGCCAATCAGCAGAGTGAATCCACAACATGTAAATGTTGTGGATTAACTCTTCAACACACCGGTGGGCTAAAGCAGTGAACTATTTGTCTTTTGTCAACGTGACATTTTTTTGCTGATTGGCCGTGTCGGGTGGTGGAGGGTTACGACATATTTATAAATAACGCGATCTAACCCAAAAACCTTTATTATGAATAATATCGGTCGCGAAAGCCTACGTGTTACACGGAAAAATACGACTAAAACTTTTTTTTAAATGGTGTCTAAAATACAGCACATAACTTTAAAGGTAACATCTTAAAACCACTTCGGCAAACATTCAGAAACAATCTTTCCCTATCTCCCCCTCTTATCTCGCTACCTTCTTGCTGTCTGCTCTAGCAGTCCATGCACCAAATCCACAACCCCAAGGTGTGAAGCTCCACGCAACGAGAGGTCGCTTCACTTGTGCCGTGGCCTCTGCTGTTTTGAACTCCCTCTCCTCGACCGTCTGCACTGCAAAGTCCCTCCTCCCCATGTTCAAGTCGAAACTCAAGTCATTACTCTGGGATTTTTGCACACAGAGTTGATATACGGTGCTTTTTCTGGAAGACTTTGCTGGTTTTTTCCTGGATTTTTCTGTTGCGCGTAGTCATTTTAAGATGTTTCTTGTTCATGTTTTTGTTTGTTGCGGTTGCACCCGATTCAAGAGCCGCATGGCTCACAGGGCTATACCTAATAAATGAAACTAAAACTAAAAAAACACTAAACTCTCCTCTACCGAAGATTATGAAGTTCCTTTTTGCTGTCCGCCCTGTTTCTCCCCTGCCCCTATCCTGTGCAAATAACGGAACACGCACTTCTCTGGCAGATGCCCTCCTACGCCTCTTGCTGCCAACAATGCCGCCCTGCGTTTGTACACCATCTCGA